ATTTTCAAAAGGTATGGTATCATTTTCATCTGAGTAYACATATGTATCAGCACCTTATTTCTGGATTTTTAAGTTGTTAACTAGCCRTTTGTATTCCAATACTATATTCCTCTCTCTTTGGAAATTATTTTTTATCTGTGTGATTGTGGTTTTGTCCCTAGCATAATCACAGAATCACAGAATCACAGGATGGTTGAGGTTGGAAGGGACCTCTAGGGATCACCTAGTCCAACCTTCCTGCTCCAGCAGGGACACCCAGAGCATGGGGCACAGGGTGGCATCCAGGCAGGTTTGAAGAGCTCCAGAGAAGGATATAATAATTAGCAGAAACTATCAATTTGATATACTGAAAGACCTTTTCTCCTGTGACAGGACATGGCTTTGTTTCTGCTTGTGTCAAACGTGTTACTTAGCAGTTATCTGCATTTGTCCCCTCCCTGCAGTGGTGGCAGAGGCCTCCTGCTTGCCCTGTGTGGCCAGCCAAGTGGTTGCTGTGCATCTGGTGCTAGCCAGAGCACACGGTTTTCAATGAAACTGTGTCACACAATGTTATCTTATCAAAAGGGGTTAGTTAAAACAAAGCACCACAATATTAACACACGGTATTTGAGCGCATTGTTCGTTCTTTGTTTGCATTTCTTTCAGTGGAATTTATTTTCTTATTTGAAAACCTAAATGTCACTACCACCAAGGTTTTTCCATTCCAGTAACAAATTTATCTGGAATACTTATTTTGCTATCTATTTTCTTAGAATGTTATTATTGTTTGGAGTGAGAAATATTTAAAATAATTTTTGTCTTTTGACGAATTCTTGAGCATATGGAGTGCATTGTGGCMAAGCTTAATATGAAAACTAATGAAGTAAGCTGAAATAAACTACTGGTTATTTCTTAATAAAGTATTTGAAGTTTTCCAAATGTTATACAATAAGAAGGAATGAAGTCTCTACTAATTCTGTTTTCCATTGCCCTCTGCTTTTATGTACCATCCACATGCAGTGATGGGAACAAAATGCATAGAAGTTGAAATACAGACAATTCCATCTCCATGTGAGGAAAAACTTCCTCACTATGAGGGTGACAGAGCCCTGGCAGAGGCTGCCCAGGTTGGTTGTGGAGTCTCCTTCTCTAGAGGTCTTCAAACCTTCCTGGATGCCTCCCTGTGCCCCATGCTCTGGGCAGGTTTAGATTAACTGCCTGTAAACCAAGCACATTTCTCTGCAGCAGTTCAGTGAATGAAGCAAATGTGCTCTATGGTCTCTGAAGCATCAAGGGGCAGGACAGTTCCTTCTACCCCATTCTACAGTGGTCACCTCAGATCTCTGCGAGCCTGTTCTTATGGGTCATGTTTAGGTGGTGCCTTTCTGCTCAGCACTGAACAAGAAGCTAAATGGAAATGTTGACACAATTCCTGTTTACCCAGTGTACGTGATCTAGGGCTATGCTGAGCCTCTTGTGCTCTGCCCACAACTTGTACAGTTTATGGTGGATTAATCGCAGCCTGCCAAAAACTGTCAAATGCTTTAGATTCAGAATGTCGTAGGAAACAATGAAAAGCAAAGTAAACCCATATAGAGGGGTGAGAATCAACTTTTAGAAACGTATAGTTACAGAATATTTTGCCATAACTGAAGCAGTGTTTTCCTTGTAAATGCTGAGAGGAAAGAACAATGTATACTGTTCTTAATCCTATATTAATTGGAAGTTTGAATAGTAAAGGAGCTGGTGGTCCCTCGTCTGGAAATATTTTAGCTTAGTCTGGGATACATTACTGTGCCCTCCAGGTTTGTTCTGTATAGCTTCTAAGCTAAGTTCCTCTTGCACTGAGTAAGTCACTTTTAGGTTGAACACCTATTAAAAATGAAATGTGTAGAATTTCTAAGGAAACTTTAAGATTCCAAATTAACATGATTAAATTGAAAACTTCATCTATACAAATCTATATAATCTGATTTCAGCAAAATGAACTTGATGTTTTGAAACACCTTTCAAAATTGTTAATTTTTCTGGTGAAGAGAGAGTTTTTGTGTCTTCCTTGTAATAAGTAATGGAGCACTTTAAACCCTAAAAAAGGTAGTTGGGGTGAGTTCTGTAAACAAAGCATTTCAGTTCTGTAGATTAAATAGGAATTTCACCTACTACATGTATTTTGCTTTGTTTTCAGATGAAAATCTTCTATACTTGCATTTTTTTTTAATGTTAGAGAATTCATTCCATTTAATGACAAAATCTTAAACTTACAGAACTGTGCAGGTCATTTTAGCCAAAATTTATAGACATCTTTCCAACACTGCTTGTAAAATATATACACAGCTCAACATTCAGTAATGAATCTAGTGCCTTTCCCTCAGGCTGCTCTACACAAAGAATTCCCTCTATTTCAATCATATTGTTATAGTTAAAATGTGGCTGTACTGGTTTTGCTTGTTCCTTTCATTTTTGGAGAGGAAAATGAAATAGCTTTGTGTTAATCCTTTCTTGCAAGGCTAGAACATCTCATCTCTGTGAGTGATAGTCTATTAATCTAGTTAATTATAAAGTTTGTGTTTGTTTGTGGTTTTATTGCTAAGAGAGGCAATAATAATAAAAGAGCCTTTCAATGCTGAGCAGGCATTAAAATCTTATTCCCCCTTTTCTTCTCGCTCTCTTTTCTATTTTTTTTCCCCTATTCTCCTTTTGCCTGGACAGATCCATGCAGGGGTGCACTGAGCTGTTGCTCTTCCTCTCAGGCACATCCGTTTTTTGTTCTTTTGGGGTCATTTATTTATGGGGTTTATATCTATTGATCACATGATCAATGATCAATAATAATGTAATTTTTAAGTAACGAGAAAAAAAACTAGAGATGAAATTAGTTCTCCAGATAAAAGAGACATTCACCCTTCTTCTCCAGGGGAGCCTGTGAGATGTTTTTGTTCTCTTCTTTGTATTATAGCAACCAGCAGCTCAAGAAGTGACAATGTTCCATTTTTCTAGTGCCTGATACCATCAACTTCCTCCCCGCCAAAAAAAAAAAAAAAAAAAGAAAAAAAAAATTGTTCTAAGAAGCCAAGGTTTTCTAGCCCTTTGTATAGCTAGCACTAAATACAATGTAATTTGGTCCTCAGTGTGTTTACAATTCGCTCAGTTAACATACAAATAGTTGGTAGCAAGACATCTCTGATCAGTTTCTGGGGAAAATATGCACATCTCAAGCTCTCCAAATATCTGTATCAACAACTGTTCACTTCTGTTGCATGTTGGCAGATATTTTGGAGTGTTTATCCTCAGTGTAAATCATAACTGGTAAAAATAATCAGAAAATGCTACACAGCTTATATTAGAAATAGACAGTTATAATCCATTGCTCAGACATTAAGTTCTACTTTGCTGAGGCCAGAGTAAAAGAATCTGATGAATGTGAGACCCATGGTAAGAAAATTCTTCACTGGGATGATTTTTTAATTTTTTTAAGAGAAGATGGATGACTTGACTTTGTTTACTTCATAGATAAACTAATGTTTTTATCCTTTTGACATTTGATTTCCTTTCCCCAGGATGGCTCAGATCTAAATTCATGAGGGGAGCTCTTGTACCAAAATGTCCTTCACGGCCACTGAAAACCTAAAACAAACCAAAAAAAGGGGCCTCTTTACACTTTCCTTTTCATTCAAACTCCATATATCTGTGCTTTAAATAATAAATGTTTTCTGAGGCGGTGAAGTTTTGTAGGAACATATAATTTTCTTGAGAGATTTCAAGTACATATAGAAGGTAAATCAGTCTAACACATTTGAAGCACCTGCCTCTTGCAGAAAGTGTGTTGTCATTCTGCTAATGGATGTGAATACAGGTTACCTTAAATTGGTTACTCGTTTTGAAGGTGGACTTTAGGTGGACTGATAGGAAGGTGGAAGGTGGACTTTATTAACTGATATTTCTGCAGAAACCTTAGTCTTAGTTAGCAGGAGGAAAACAACCACGGACCCYTCACATCAACAGGGTACCTATGTTAAAGGGATAACCTGCCCAGTCATGGAAACCTTGCTGAACAGCAGTGAGGAGAAATTTCAGCACAAAGGGCTGCTCCGAGGGGACTCTGATACCCCCACCGTTAACTCCTCCAAGACCTCATGCAGACTGTTTCCTAACTAACTTGGATATCAAAAGTGACCAAAGATGTTCCTTTGCAGGGATATCTCTCTTAAGAAGTGACTTCTTGGAGTACTCTGAGACTTTCTGAGAGAAATGGGAACACTGCTATCTATGCTACTAAGGTTAATTAGTAATTCTGTAAAGCTAAATCCTTTACCAGTTCAGTTCATTTCCGATCTCAATATAAAATTCAAATGCTTTCTGTGTTTCTGGATCAATAGTTTTACATAATGAAAGAAATATTAATAGCTGCATGAATAAAAAGACCCAGGCATATGAAGACAATGAACTCTGGGTTTGTTTGTTTAAGAAATTAGAGGAAAGCAGWCTGAAGTGGCTCTATTCAAAACAAAATATAGTTTTTTACTGATCATAAGAAATAGCCATCTGATCTCTTAGAATCTGATCTCTGGCAGAAGGAAAATTCTATAACTTGTTTCATTAATTACTAATATTATTAAATCCATGTCTATCAGTGAGGATTGGAATTTTGCTGGCATCTCCACTGAGAATTGTCCAGCAAAAAGTTKTGGAGCTATTGCTGGAAAAAACGTAGTAGCTTTTGTTATAGATTCTGTCTCCTGTTTGTTTCTCCAGGTGACTAAGACCAGATGTTCAGAAATGCAGCAGAGAAATGCGAATATTTTAGTGATAAACAACATATGAAAATCTTCTGAAGATTTTCCTGATCCTCACTGTGTAGTAGTGGGCTTACATTCTTGATTTTTGAGTATACATACATATATAAATATATATAAATAGGTTTTTACCATTTTTAAAGATACTTCCTYGTAAACAAAAAATGAATGTAAAGCAGTTATATTTAACCTTCATGCAAGGAACTAATTCCACTTACCTGTTTACAGGGCTGGCCTTTGCTGTTCTGTCTTCAGTCCATCCAGTTTTTGGTTTATATGGCTCTTTATTCCCTGTGATTATTTATGCAGTCTTTGGAACGGGACGCCATGTTGCAACAGGTAGGTCTCCATGTACTAAAACATTTCCAGAAATAGGGAGTTGGAAGGAAAAAATCTTTTATATTTTAAACTACTTGAAGGAAAATTATCTAAGGCTAAACAGAAGTAAGACTTTTATGCTTCTTCTTATAGAAGAATATAAGATCTTTTCTCCAATTTAAGAAAAATAATGTCATTAAGGATATTTGAGTAACTGCTGTTACTGTAATTTGCATTGTCAAAATTGACAGTATTGCTTTGGCCCTTCCTTTGTAAATGTAGTTTATTAAGAGGCTTTTTGTAGCTTAACTCCACACACATGCCATGGGCTAAGATTTTAACAAAAAGTTCAGCCAAAAAGTATTTGCAAATAGGAATGGAAAAAACTCAAAATGTTTCTTAAAACATATAAATCATACATTAGTCAATTAGTCAGTTGGCCAAAACACAAATTCAGAGAAAAAAAGAAAAAAGAGGGAGAATTTTTTATGCCTATTATCTGCTAGAATTCCCTGAGCAGCTTGAAATACAATTCATGCAACTGAAACATGGATTCTTTGCTGGGCAAATGTGAGCACTTGATGACCTCTGAAGTCTAGAGGATGGATGAGATAGGCCCAGTAGTAAAGCACAGTAGGGCTGCATAAAGGGACACGAGTTCTCTAATCATCAGAAGATTTAAGCAGAGGGAATCCATATTTCCTTTGGAAAACAAGAATAGCTCTTGAGGACACGCAGTTCTGGGAAATCACATACATAATGAATGCTGCTGAATCAAATTGCTCAAGTGTATATATCAGCAAATAAGTTTAGTAAGAAGCTYGCCAAATACTGTATTTCTTTTTTTGTTTAAATGTATGTTAAAGCATCAAAATGCATGCTTAATAATGTTGTTAAAAACCTAATAGGAGCCATTTCACACAGTCTACTGAGAAGCCAGGATGTTTTCCAGAGCTCCTAAATTTGTATCTCACCATCTGATCCTCTCATTTTAAAACAAAGTGTAGAGTAAGGAAGATACTACAACTGACAGTGAATTCCTAGGACTTGATGCCAGAGGACACTGTGTAGGCAGAAATTACTGGCAGGTTTAAAAATGGGCTTAGACAAAATAGGGAATACTATCCCATAAACAAATTCTGAAAGATCCAGATAAGTGTGTACACAATAACATTCCTAATACATTAGTTGTGGGTGCTGGGGCATTAAGAGGGGGAGGGATGCAGAAAGGGGCCAGGCTGTGTGCTTTCCCTAGGTAACACCTCTGATGGCTGCAGCTGGAGGCAGAGTCTTGTGCCAGATGGACACACATAGGAGTGCGCAGTCGTAGAGCTTTCTACAATGTCTCTGTGCTTTTCAATACTAAAATATCATCCTTGTCTKTCTGTCACTAGATTTGCTTTAGACTTACTTTCAGCAAGTAACTATTTCTCAAACCTGCTTCCATTTGTTAGTGGTCAGGTTGCTTCTGTATCATGTACTAAAGAGATTTAAGTGTAGAAATTTGTGTTAGGCAAAAAGAAAAGACTATAAAATAATTTTTAGCATGTAAAGTTAGAGATTTTTAGAGAATACACAAATAGATGCTATCACTCATGATGACCAAGTTTTGAAAAAGAGGCTATTACTGACTACTACGTACATAGACCTATTGGTAACTAATCTGTGGCTTTCTTTTTTTTTTTTTTTTTTTTTTTTTTTTTTGGAACTTTTGTTTTAACTTCTTTAATATCTGCCAATGCAGTTGAACGTCTTGTTCCTTCAGCCAATGCTAGTTTCACTACAAGCAATGATTCAGGAGTCCTGGGCCTCTCCGAGTTTGAAATGCAGAAGATAGGAGTTGCTGCAGCAGTCTCATTTTTAGGAGGACTCATTCAGGTAGGTAGTGAACATATAATCTGTATGTTACTGACGTATAGATATCATTTCTGATAGCTTTGACATCCATAACATTTTTTCAGTTATGTGAGAAAAACTGACTTTGGATCTGGTGAGATGCTTATGAGTGATGAAATTAATGTGTTTTGAGTATTTATTGCTGTGTAGTGGAGATGTAGCAACTGCCTCTATACATGATCCTAGAGTTCTGTAATATGAGGTAAAACCACATTCAATCAGCTCTAATATTCAGTTGCTGTTCATTCTCCATTTTCTTCTCCTTCAGAAACAAAGCATGAATCAGTGCTCTGGTGAGCATTGACATATTTCTGAGGTTTTCTATTGCTCTTGGCTGGAAGAGAAATAGTATACAATATTCAATAATTAAAAACAGTAGGGAAAACGTATTTAAATTCTCTTTAGAATTCACACACCCATCATTAAAGAAAAAAAAAATTAGTAAAACAGATGTTTTCAAATGATTCTCCAAAGTTTATTCAAATGATCAGAGGTCTTTTAAATTTTTCCCCTTTTCCTCTTCTGACCGCAAACACTGAATCCCTTTATCCACTGCCAGTTGCTTAAGTCTTTAAAGAAGGCTTCCATCCTTCCTGGTAAATAAGACCTAGATCCACAAATGGAAGAAATATTGCAGTATTCAGACCTGGCCTTTTGAAAGGAGTTCCTCTCTCCTCTGTGCTTAGTGTTTTGGATCTCTCTACCATGTAGAAGAACAAAGCTCAAAAGGGGTTCTTCAGTGGCCAGCTCACTCAGCGTGAACTGCAGCGTATGCCTATGTTAGATAGGAAAAATCAAGCAGCACGATTATTTCTCCMTGGTTTGCTTCTTTGCTTCTTTTATTGGTCACAGGATTATACCTGAGTGTGAGGAAAGCCCCAAAGACAGCATAAAGAAGACCTTGTACTGATCACGCTTGGCCTCTGCCTGAGCACCAGAGCCTCTCACCGCCTCATGCGCAGTGATGCTGGACTCTCTGCTCACAACGGTGTGATCGAGTGTATGCAGAGGTCTTCAGATGGGAGTGTTGGGCTCAGAGCCTTACATGAAAGAAACTTAGGTGCTGAAGAAGAAAATACCTAAAGTGGGGAGCTTGTGTCTGTGTTTGATCTAACTTCAAAATTTGATGCAGGAAAGCTTTGCATAGCTGCTGGAGAATCTTTTGAGGTTTCTCAGTCCTCTAGATATCTTTTTCATTTTGAGAAGTTGTGCTTTTTTATGAGCCGCAAACTGCTCCAGCTGAGTTATCTCAGTYTGTCAGATCTAAACTTGATTGGAATGAGGAGAACTAGGAAACCTTCCACCTGAGTCTTCAAAGTAGGCCTGAGAGGGAACTATGCCAAGCATGTGTAACAGGACTTGGGCTCCTTTCCCGCTTGAGTAATGTCACATTCAATGGAATCACACTAAATGTGTGAGTAAAGTGTGATTCAATGGAATCACACTAAATCAACCTGTGCTTATAGTGCTACCACTAGTACTTTATTTGAGTCTAATGGTCACAGCATTGCCTAGAATGTGGAGACAAATTAAAATAGTTATTTCTCATATCCCCAAAGAATGACTTGAAGTTAGGCATCAGGGATACTCCAGTGGAACTCTGTATCAAAGCTATAATTAAATTTTATTTATAATTTGCCATTGTCCTAGATGTTGTGGAGTTTTAATCTGTGTTTCTTGTCATGATTTCAATCTGTTGGCCAGCAGTTACTGCTATTTCCAGCTAGGGTGGCAGGGGACTTCTTGCTGGTAACAGAGAGCTAAGTCAGTAGTTCCAATTATCAGACGAAAGTAGAAATTAATGAACAGCCCCAGATTAGATGATGTGTTATTCTGGGACAAAAGGAATATTAYCGTTTATTTTTTGAAAATAGTTTACTGTTGAAGCTATCCTCAAATGTATGAGGAGATGTAGTAGAAAAACTGCACAAAGAAACTAGAGCCATGCACTTTTCATATATATATATTTTTACTGTGAAAGTCATCTATCTGAGATATCCTCTACTTCCCTAGATATTGAATTTTTAAAAAATGAGTAATGATGGAGACACTCCTAACATATGTGATTTTTCTTCCTATACAGTTATAGTAAAGACCAGTATTAGTATGAAAAAATAAAAAGTACTGTTCTTTTGGCAATATTCTATATTTTATTCTGTTGTTCTGTTGCTCTTCAACTGTCAATTCTTTCTACTGTTTATGTACATCACCAAGGAAGAAAAATCATACAGTATATCAGAAAATAAGACTGGACACCTACAAAAAGGAGTATCAGAACCATAGAGAAAATATTGTAGATGCAATAACTGAATTTTTTTTAAACGAATTGAACATACTTTTACATTTTAATTATTGGTTATAGAGTGAAAGATTTTATGACATGGTGTAATGTGATGCTGTTTGGTGCTGTCAGCTCTTCTTAGTCTCAGACGAGGTTTATCCAAACAGCAGTGGTTGCCAAGCAGTGGACTGATCCTCAAGATGGAGTGGTAACTTGAGAGTTGATCTAGGACTGTATAAATACTAACTGTGTTGAATATGTCTGTGGAGAAGAGTCACACACAACTAGACTCAAAGAACTTGTTTCAGAAGAAATTTCTTCCTTCTGTTCATCCGTCTGTTTCTGTATGTTACTAACACTGCAAGGACAGCAGGAATATCCCATGCCTACTCCTGCTGAGAATCACACCCTTCCCAAATATTTTCTGTCCTGATGCCTTCCTTGTCAGATCTTCATTGTGGAAGACATAGGGATATACATTTAGTTTATTTAGCTGTAATATAAATAAATGGTAGAATTTATATGCYTGCCTTTGTTTCTATAAAATCTAGAGTTATTGTCTTATTTAAAAGAGCATGTGTGGAGACCAGCATAGCCTTCTGCTTGTTGTAGAGTGGCTACATAGGCAGCATATCTGAAATCCTGGCATTGGYGTATGAAATGTAACCCCTGTCTGAGCAAGCAATAAACAAGACTTTTTAACTGTGACCTTTTATTTAGTACTTGAGAAAGAGGGTCATTTGTCTCCAAAATGCTCATGATTTAAAGTAAAAAAATCTCGGTGTAAAGTAAATATGAGGTTGATGTTGAATTATTTCCAACACCGAGAAAGTTACTAAGGTTTTGAGTCATGGCACCATCTCCTATTGTTCACCATAGCAGTTTTCTCTGAAATATTAACTAGTATTATATATATACTAGCATTTCTCTGTTATACTATGTACTTCACAGAATTGTCACTGTRGCTTATTGCTATATAAAACTTCATTCTGTTCTCTAGAAAAAATATATTTAGAAAGTCCTTATCTGAAGAATGCAAACTGATCTTAGGAAAAAAACCACTGATGAAAGGAGAATGCATTTCTTATTGAAACACTAGTGTGAATGATGTTTCAAATATATAAATAGGTACACTGTTAGAAAATAACAGATAAACAAACTATCTGAAATTGGAAATTATCCTTTCTAGGCCTGAAAAACTAAATTACTACTCACTATGGCTATAACAGCAACTACCATTGTTGAGGTCCAGTGTTGAATAGCAATCAATGTTCTGATTGTTTGTAGTTCTGAGCAGTTTGTATGCTATTTTGTGAGCTGAAATACCTTCCATAAATTTGTAACAAAGGTGATGTTATCTTCAAGACTGACCATAACCGGGCGGAAGTCCACTCCTTGTTCCGGAGGTGAAATCCAGTTAGAATATAGGATTGTGCTCATGAAATTGGATGTTGAGTTTGCYTTTCCATTTTAAATTTTCTGTTTGTAGGAAGATATTCTAAATTATTTCAAGTATTTCCCAAATGCTGTTCATTGTGTTTATGTATTTGAGCAAGAGTAAACCACAAGCATTGCATATAAGTCTGCTTTGGTCACTAGTAAAACTTGAATCTTGGAAATTAGTGAGGTARACAACATAGCAGAGGATAACCCTGAAGAATTCAGTGTATTCACTTCATCATTCTTTGAAAGGCTTCTATATTTTTAGCTGATGGTGATTTATCTTGCAGTTCATTAAGAAGATTCCATCTCACTGATCTACCATCTGGCTGCTGCGCTTTGTTGCAAATGCTGATATAGATATCTCTGGTTTTCAGGTAGCAATGTTTCTGCTGCACTTGGGCAGTGCCACCTTCTTGTTAACAGAGCCAGTGATAAGTGCAATGACAACTGGAGCAGCGACACATGTTGTGACTTCGCAGGTGAAGTATCTGCTGGGCATGAAAATGCCATACATCTCCGGACCATTGGGATTTTTTCATGTGAGTTCATCAGAAGAGACGGGTCATTTCACTAGCTGATGTTATGCTCCTTTGCACAAGATATATTACACATGTTGTTCTAAACGTATTTCCTTGATGTTTTCATCATCACTGTGGTAAAAGAAATACAAGCTGTGGTTTGTGGATCTCCCCTGCATCATCCATACCTTAAATGTGTTGCTTATTAATTTATGACAAGAAACATTGCCAGAAAAATGGCAGGTGTGCAGCTTTGTGTTAGTATTTTTGTAAAATGCATATAGCCATTCATATAGTATCATAGTAGCTCCCTTTGGAAAGCAAATATTGTTGACTGAGATAGTTAAGGGCAAAGGTGTTTATCTTATTACCTAAAGCACGTATTAGTCAGAACTCTAAGATAATTCTCTCTAGCAAACTCTAAGTTTGGGTGTTATGGACATAAGCTTTTAACAGAAGCATTAGCAGTATTATAATAGTATCTGGTAAGCTAATATTTTCCTAATATTATATAATTACATTGACTTTCTAAGATGATATTTACATTCATCAGATAGCAATTAGCAAATAGTTGAGTTACCAGTTAAAGTGAGGYCGCATCTTGTTAGATGAGTCAGAACATCTTTATTTAAAAATATGCACCATATTTTGTTGCATTACCCTACTCCTTTATTCTTTCTTATTATTTTTGAAAATTTGTTAAAATGAACTCTGTGATAAGAAGACATTACTTTTTAGAATGTTCTTTATAATATAAGGCCTTTTATGGAGATTTGATTGGTAAGTTTTTTACTGGACTGAAATATTAATGAGAATTAGGGACATGTAGTAAAAATAAGCAATATGTTGTGATTGCATAACTAAAAATGTCGTAGTCATTTTTAAAAGTAGTTCATCCACCTTTGGGACTATTAGAAATGATTCATGTTATATTAAAATATCCGTTAAGCTTTAAAAAGCTGCTCATAAGTATATCTTGATATAAAATATAACCATCCTCTTTTCATGTTGTTTCCATGGAGACTAAACTTACTTAAGGAATATTGTCATCTTGTAGAAATGACTTAGTGTTAAGTACAGCAGCCAAGACTTAATCAAAACACACATTATGAGCAATAATCAGGAACAGCAGTGATACAGGGAAATATATCCATGTTGGTATGCTAATGATATCATACATGAGGTCATTGAAATCCTTTGAAGAAAATATATTCCCAYATCTCTTGTATTTTTTATGGACGAAACAAGACTTTGCCCTGCACTTCATTTTTGAAATCAAGCCCTTTTGGATAGATTCCAAAGACAAATTTTCTCAACTTTATTTAAGGTTCTGAACTGCTYTGTGGACTTCTGTACAAACAAATTAAAATGCCTATAGCCATGCAAAATGCAAATAACCATGYCCATACCCTCTGTATGACTTTAAAGAATAATAAATAAGAATTCTCTGGATTTAGAAGGAAAAATTTTACCATCTAAGTCACCTCAGACAGAATCACCACAGAGAGATTTTTACAAACGTCGTTTCTGTGGTGGAAGTTTTACATCAAAACTAWACCAATTAAATGGAGGTTATTCACCATTGCTGGCAGCATTCCATAAACTGTAGATGAGACACTTAGGGATATGGTTTAGCAGGCATGATGTTGAACAGTTTATGGCTGGGCTTGATGATCTTGAAGGTCTTTTCCAACTATAATGATTCTATGATCGTCTGCATGCAACTACAGAATAAAAAGCAAATTTGGCATTATCTTCATCAACGTGTTCTTTAGGACAAATTCATGAAACCAAGGAGTGGTATTTTTGCTTTTTTTTTTTTTTTTTTTTTTTTTTTTTTTTTTTTTTTTTTTTTTATATTTCTCCACTCCCAACCACCTCCCACTCACAAAACATACTTTTTTTGCCTCAGGCAGCCTTTGAGTCTACAAAGCAAGATGTTAATAAAGTGATAAGACAGTCAAAAGTCAAGTAAGCCAATGAAGCCTGTTTTTTATAGCAAATGAGATCACAACTAAATATGTAAAAAGGAGCTTTATATGTGGGGAACAAATCTATCAGAGTGGCACTGAGTCTACGGGATTTTTCTGTTTGAACAGAGTTTTGTAATATATTTAGTTTAATTTTTTTTATGCGCGGTTTGTAACACTGCACATTGCAGCTTCAGATGAGATTTTCCAAAGAGGTATGTCAAGGCAAGCAAGAGGTATATCAAAGGTAAAGAAGAGAAATAGTCAGGGAAGAATATATATAAAGTCTAGTTTTTACAAGGCTCAGCTTAGAGAAAAGCTGTCATCATGATTTCCTTAGTATCTGAAGACAGAAAACACGCATTTGCCTTTTGTCCGTGTTTAGACATATTTATTCTTCCACAAGTTCCACTGCTGGAGAAAATCCAGTAGTACAGAATGAACCCCAGCAATTTAGCACAGCTACTCTGCAGAAGAAAGWGACCTTGTGGCTGTGCTGCAGATTTGTTGCAAAATTTTTGTGGCTGTGTTGCAAGTCAGCTGAAAAAATCTTCATGTTCCCTATACAGTTCATAGTGGTGGCCTGTGCTTTGCTGGACAGGCTTAAATCAGAAAGAAACTCTTTTCTAAATGTAAGAAGGTCATCTGCTCTTAAATTATAACTGTTGCATCCAGTTGTTTTAATTAACTTGTTGCTTTTATTTCTTGCTCTATTCGCTTTAAAATTTATACTCCTTTTGGAACTAATCTTTTGGGTTTTCATGTATATATTTTCAAAAAGAACTCAGAGGATTTCATTAATGAGTCAGCATAGAATAGAAAGCACTACCGTGTGCATTATCATTCTGAGAAAGTGTGTGAAAATATAGTAGAACTCAAGGCCAATAATTTCCCAAGGGTAAAACTKTAGTGACATTCAGTATCTATATACATGTGTGGGTAAAGTTTGAAAATAGAATTTTCCACATGTTTGCAAATTTATATCAAGACCAAAAGTTTGTAGATTGAAAAGTTTCTAGATTCCTTATCATACTTCATGAGGAAAAATATATTTCTTATCTTTTTCTGAAACAATTTTTGTAGATATTTTTTCTTCGTAGAGTATGCAATTATTCTTAAGAAGATAGGAAGAAAAAATAGGAAATATTTGGTTATTTACTCATTCTGCAAAATGAGTATAATCTCTTCAATAACACAATCCCAACGGGGGAAAAATATTTTATCATCATGTTGAACGCTTTTGGATAGTACAGGGTTATTAACTAAGACAGTTGTTCTAGTACTTTCTCCTGTCTTGTATAGATATTCATATTTAGACTCCAAATTATTCATTTTGTTATTGTTACAAGTTTATCTGAAAATGATTATTAGCTGCAAAAAATTATTAATCTGTATTTTGATAAAACTATAAAAATTGATAAAACTATAAATTTTGATAAAATTATTAGTCTGTATTTTGATAAAACATCACTTTTCATATATTTTAGTGATATTAGATATTGTTGCAGGAAACATTCCTCTGTTGCTTGATTTTATTGTTATTAATGCTGTGGTTTWAAAARAAAATACTTCTAATGCAGCCAAATTTACAGCCAATTGTTATTTTATATTATAATTTGCTTTCTCTACACAGTTTACATTTCAGCCCAAGCAATAGTTCTGAAAACCTTGATGCAGAATTCAAGTGACTGAGCCTACTTTTTTTATTCCTGCAGCTTGTATTTTGTCCAACTTTAGTTCCTGTAGGCAATTGATCATTTCTATTACATGAGGCATGAAAGTACCTGTGATAGGCATATAATTTTTCTTTTTTTTTTCTCCCTAAATAGAAATTTCTCTGACTTTCTTCAGCTCTACTAAACATTTCAGTGAACTTGAATTTTTCCTTCATTTTTTTTCTGTTGCTCTGTTATCATGTTGATTTATACCTTGCTTTCCAGACCTTCAGTTTGGAAAAGAACTAAAATTGCAGTTTTCCCTGTACAATTTAGATGCAGTTCAAAGCCTGCAGAAGTTCAGTGATTTCTAAATTGTACAATGAAGTGGTGATGAACTTGGTTGATAATTGGATGATCAGTGCTGGAGTAAAGGAAAAAAATGTATTCTTCTGAATCTACCTATTCACTTGGAATGTTTTATTAATTGACATATATCCCTTTTATTCATCTTCATAGGTGTTTCTATTGCTATTCAATATTTCTGCTCTTATTTCACAGTTTCCTTACATTCAGCCCCCTAATTCCTTTCTTCATCTTATGTCAAATTGTCTTGTTCTACCCATGTTTTAGGTCATGCTGATGACCTAACTTTTGTGTAAGGTTGTAAGGTTGACCTAATTGTTGTGTGACCTTAACTTTTGTGTAAGGTTGGATTAATTAAAATATTCCTGCTTACTTCTGCAGATAGGAATTTATAGTGTTTCTTATATAACAATATTCACTGCATTTTGAAACTTTATCAAAAGTCCACAGTATTTTAGCTATAGAATACTGATAGAAACTCTATAGAAAGCTATGGAAACTGTTGTTTTTCTGACCTGCACTGTATTTTATGAATGTCATTACTCAGCTCCTGAGYGTTGATACAGCCCTCAAGGATAATTCTAGGTTGCTGATGTGGTTTACAATGTGCCATAGCACAGAGCAGTGCACTTTGTGATCTGTGACCGTTGCTTGTTTTTCATTCCAATCACCCAGATTTATGCCTACATATTTGAGAATATCAGATCAGTTCAGCTGGAGGCTTTGCTTCTGTCCCTGCTGAGCATTGTGGTGCTTGTTCTTGTTAAAGAGTTGAATGAGAAATTTAAAAGAAGTATTAAAGTAGTTCTTCCTATCGATCTAGTTTTGGTAAGTATGAGATCAAATATCAGACCTTTTGCTTTACAGAGCTTTCAGTGGTTCAACTAATCTGCTGCAGTTTACTGTGTTATCTTGTCAACAGTTACCCACAGGCACACTTGCCACATTAAATGGATAGCTAAACTTCACGTCTCTGTGTTGAATACAAGAGGAGGAAACACTTTCACTGTGTTTCACTGTCAAAGAAATGACATATGTCCCCAATTTGTAAAATATTTTTCATGTGTTTAATATTTATTATATAATTCCAAGAACGTGAAGTCTAAAATATTAACGTGTAAGAAATTAGAAACAGAAAATGAAAAGCAACTGGCATATAGAAACTCCAGGAAAGTCTTATATGTGATACCTGTGGATTAGATATTGTTATTTGTCTGCAAAAAAGTTATTCATCTAAGTTTTAATTTTCTTCAATTTTACTTTTTACAGTTTTACAGGAGTTTTCCTTTCGCACAGCATAAACTAAGTTGAAATTGAAATAAASTATAGCACTGTAAATCTCTACTGGTAAAGTTTAAGCACTGGTCAAGTTATCAGCACCAGGAAAGAAATTTTCTCTTTTTCTGAAGATCTCTAAAATAAACAAATTTGAAGGACAGGTGCTTCTCAGAGCAGATATCACAATTACTCTTTTGTTGAAAGGATGATTTACAAAACAAATGTTTCTAAAGGTCCTTTCCATCCTCAACCATTCTGTGATTCTATGATTTTTCTTAGACAAAAGGATAGAAAAAGAGGTAGTATTGATCTGGTCCTTGCCCTAAGATCTGCTTTGTGTTTCATACTAAGCTGCATACAATGTACAGAAAAACCTAGGATCAKAGACCGGGGCCTGTGGCAGTTTGTCTGGAATTTACATGTTCTTTTTACAAAAAAATGTAGGCAAAGTGAGTTCGAACCTCTTTAGGGTCAAATTTTCCTCTTCCTCGTCAGGATTTCTTACCACTGCAACATAATTATGAGAGACAGGCACACCTTCTTCTGCAGTGTTTTGTGCCCTAATCAACGCTGCCAGTGTGGATTAGGTGAGCTCAAAGAGCGTCAGCTGAGTCAGACCATTTAGGGGCATCTAAATTATGAATTGCTTTATGTTGCTTACATGTATAAAAATGACTGTAACAAGGGATATGTGTAACATGGAAGGATTTTTAATACCAGTTGACAAGATTCCTGCTGTTTTCAGAGACTATTGCACATTGCTTTCATAAAGGTAGAGCATCTAAATTCTAGTGTAGCCCTTCTTTATCCTTCCATTTTAAATCCTTTTTTTGTCCAAATCTTTTCTTTATTCTGTATTTCAGTATTATTATGTATATTTATATCATTTGCATGCAGTAATAGAGATCATATGAGAACCTAAAATTGATAGAAACTTAACGTCTTTTCTGTATTGAATCACACAGATAATCGCTTCTTCCCTTGCCTGCTACTACGCTGATATGGAATACATCTACGGGCTAGAAGTTGTGGGACATATTCCTGAAGGGTAATATGTTTTTTATTAACTTGTGGATATTAAATATATATATATATATGGCCTACAAAAAGGTCAAAATATTTTGTTGAAATAGGAAGTAGCAAAAATCTACCATGTTCTTTTCAGCCCTCAAATAGTCTCTCATAGCCTCAGAGACTCAGCTATAGAGTCTCTCTCAGTAGTTCCCCTCTTGGTCAGTCTTTCATATTAAAAAGATTTATCTACACAAAAATAATTATAAAAATGCATACCATCCTGTACATTTTTCATGGCAGATTCATTAATTTAAAGGATAAAAAATCGGCACTAAATGCTTGACGGAGCTGGTGGTTGTACAGCAGGAGGGTGGAACATCACCTGCTGTTTCTGTGGGTTGCCTTGGGTTGCCCTAGAAGAAAGGACTTAGAATCAGATAAGGCTTGTAGATTGCTGCACTTCATTCCCCTCCACTCATTCATATACTAATTTTAGAAAAAGTGGTTTCTTAGCAAAAGTGAATGAATTAGTTATCTTTTTATCTAGAAATCTAGTCAGAGGTATGTTGTTCATTTCCATATAAGTTCATTATAAAGTGTATTGCAATCTGTTTTTCTCCATGACCTTGATCAGAAAGAGAAAAATTATTCAGTATCATTAATTGCAAAGAAAATTTAGAGTAGATATTAAGGAGAGTATTGTATGGGAAGTTGCTGAGATAGATTTAGGGGAAATTGTATGCTAAGTAGACCTAAAGTTAAATGAGGTTATGTATTTTTGATATGTATTATATATTGATGAACTGTATTGGCGCAGTTTTTTTTCCAAAGCTTATTTTTTGTCTAATCTGTCATACTGATATTCTGTTGTGTTGAAAAATATAAGCATAAGCATAGATCCTTCCTGGATATTTTTAGGCACTTCCTAGAATATCTAACTTTCTTGGAGTGGAAAGTGTTAGAAACTCTAGGAATATAATTCTGCTCTTAAGTGATGTTAGCCCAGGAAACAAGTCTCTAGAAGACAGATGAAATACAGGGGATGTTTGGGCTGATTTAATTCTTAATATATGCATTTCTGTAAGATGCCAAAAGGTGGATGAAATGAATGTGAGCTACTCCTTCTAACCTACAAAAATACTAAATTATTTAAATGTTAATATTTAAAAATCCAATTATAAAAAAAGAAAAAATCCATCAGAGTCTGGTTTATTTCTCATTAAAAAATTAAGGAGTAGTTGCAGATTATATTATTCAGTAGCAGAGCTAATGTGTAAGGATGCCTTAGTAATTTTTCAAATAAGAATTTACAAATGAGACTTCATCTGGGATCTGGGATCATCTCACCTTCCTATACAAATTCTTCCCAGCAGTTCTTAAAAGATCTTACTAACTAATCTGAAATATTGAGAAAAAAATTATAAATATTAAAAAAATTAGCTTGTATTTTTGCATTCCACAGGTATATTGAGGCTGTGTACAATGCTTTGCAAGAAGAACTATCTTTATTTTTACAGGATACCATCACCAAGAGCACCACCCATGAGTGTCCTCCCTGAAGTGGCCACTGAAGCTTTTGGAGTAGCCCTGGTTGGTTACGCAGCCTCTCTAGCTCTAGCCCAAGGCTCTGCTAAAAAGTTTAAGTATTCGGTGGATGAAAATCAGGTAAAGCTCTTTCTCTTTACTGTCAGTYTGCACTGAAATTGCTTCATTTTTCTGAAAATGTAATATAGATGAATGCCCAATAGAAAGTGGAAGTTCCAGATGCCATCATGAAGCCTTCCAGTGATTACAGTTTTGCCCAAATCAGCTCTGTAGAACATTCTGATTGGTAGAGTCACTCCTACTGAAGAAGCAAATCCTTCAGGTTAATCTTATAATGCCCCATTCAGTTCAGCTAGCCTCCAATTTGGGTGTTAATATGTTTTTCTGGTGTTCTGAGAAGAGACTGCTTCTCCTGTGGCAGCTGAGGTTTCAGGCCAGCTAATATTTTCAATTAGCAACTGATTAAAGGAGCAAAGCAGTTCTAAATATAAAATAGGTACTTACAGCCCCAAGATATATCTGGTGTTATAAAATGAGACTTATGCAAAGTAGAAGTATCCTTTGAAGTAAAGGTTTATTTGTATAAAAGAGGCAAGGTGGGTTCAGATAGCACTGTCAAATCTGCACCCATATCAGCCATAGTTCCCCTTTGCCGTAGCAAGTTTTATTTAATCTTGCCTTATCCTGCCTTCCTACTGGTCATGGAGGGTGGGTAACTTCAAGTCAACTGAAAATCTGTGGAGATAATAATACAGGTACTATGGCAAGAAGCACGCAATTCCAGGTAAGGTCTAGCTGGTAATCACACTGCGTGATTAAAATTATCCCCCCACCTTTATTTTAAGGGGCTTAGGATAGATCACACGAGGTGGAATGAAGAGGAATTGGTTCTGTAGGTGGCGGCCTGTTTGAACACCTTGTCAGAACAACTCGGTTTTGTACCATCAGTGCAAGTATTTTGCAAGTCATGGTATCATGTGGAAGCGTGTTGAGAATGTTGTTGTCTATTCAAATTGCCTTTTTTTTCTCAGAAGGAATATGCTGTGCTGTGAATTTCTATTGATGTTGTAGGGCCGTGTTTTATAGGGAGCAGAGGATGTGTCCGAGGGTATCAGAAGCCCAGCTCTACATCCCTGCAATAGGATGTAGGCCTTCGGGGCACTTCATGGAGCATATACATCTGTAGTTCTTTCAGCACCCTTAGAAAAAAATGTAACTTGGCCTAATTATTGGGGTGATGGTGTCTATGGATACATTTTTATTGAATATTGGAGAAAAGGACACAAATGACTCATAGGACTGACAGGAATCAGGGCAGCCGATGTTGCAAGCAGAATGTGTCACCGTGCCATGAGGAGTGCACCTGGGCAATGCAGCTGTGCTGCACGTGGGGACCATGGATATGCCTCTGCCTCGCCTCGGCCTCGAGGCAGGCAGAAGTACAAGGCAATAAAATGTATTTGCAACAAAACATAGCATAGAGTGTAGTATTGCTACCACATTTCACTTTCACTAAGGTGGGATCTAAAAAGAAAAAAATCAGTGCTTGGCCTTTTCTAAGCAGAGTCATAAGCCTGATGTGATCTGAACCCACCCCAGATGCCACTACTCCAAACCCTGGTCTGTTAAAATGCAGATGTGAAACAGGGCATAAATATTTTGATTGAAGCTCATCTTCAAAAGCTGGCAGTGTCATTTACTCTATGAACATAATGTGTCTGCTTCAGCTTTTGATGAATCTGGTTCAACAGCTGTATCATCCAAGTTAGGTCTGAGTCATGATACATCGTGTTGCGGTATTTTGGCCATTCTTTATTATTGCTGATTTTTATGTGGGGAATTCCTTAGCTGGCAAGCAGAATTGAAATATCAGCAAATTCAAAAAGAAAAAGAAATCGTGTTCTTTCTAACAACTTTGCAGGAGCTTTTGGCTAATGGCCTCAGCAACGTGATTCCTTCATTTTTCTTTTGCATACCAAGTGCTGCAGCGATGGGACGTACAGCACTTCTATATAGTACGGGCGCCAAAACACAGGTAATGGCTCGGACTGGAGTAAGTAGGACAACTCAGACTGTAAGTTGTTCACTGTGCTGATTTATCCACTTGTTCGGATTTAACCACTCTATTTTTCTATCCTCCCTTTTCTCATATCCTGGAGCATGACTTTTCACTGTCATCTTTAACAATCTACATGTAATTCCAGATGATCAAAAACTGTCTTGCTGGAAAAAAAAAAAAAATCACTCTTTAATGTGTATCTATTTAATTCAATATAAATTCTGTGTCAGTGGAAAGGTAAGTGTTTTGTTTTGCCCTTTCACAGAGTGCATGAAACGACACATAAACCCTCTCAGGTTTATGTGGAACTGTCAGCACTGTAGCAAAAGTGCCCTCTAATGGTGTTTAACGGATTTAATGGTAAGTGCTAAACAGAAGATTTTTTTAAAAAAATCAGCGCTTGTACTTGAGATTCATAGAATCACAGAATGCCCAAGGTTGGAAGGGACCTCAGAGGTCATCGAGTCCAACCCCCCTGCTCACGCAGGGTCACCTAGAGCACGTGGCACAGGGCTGCATCCAAGCGGGTTTTAAAGATCTCCAAAGAAGGAGACTCCACAACCTCTCTGGGCAGCCTGTTCCAGATTCAAAATGAAGTCAAAATAAACTTGGGAGCTGCTCCTAAAAGAACCAAGCAATCTGACAGTTTCTGCCTTGTGGCATGTCCTGTCCATCAGTAGGTCTGCATTGTGCCTGCAGAGATGACATTCAGCTTTGTTAGGATAGATATTACCTATTTCCTACTGTTGGAAACCAAACCCCGACATTCTTGTTGCAGCAGCTCAGAGAAATTAGTGACTGGGCATTTACTACATGTAATGGAGTTGGCATGTACAGATCAGAGTTTCTTTATATATTAACACCATGGAAATAATTTGCTATATAATACATCTAAAATTGTCTGTCCTCTTTTCTTCTCCTCCTTTTTGGAGACCAAAACATCAACTCAAACTTCTTCTTTTGAGTCTGTTTAGGCAGAATGTAGAAACAAGAATTACGTCACTGCTAAGCTTTGGTAAAATCACAGGCGAAGAGAAGACCAAAGGGTTGCTTTGAGCTCACAGACAGAAGTCAATTTATTTTTCATTTAATTTAATTTATTTAATTTCATACATATCAAGAGGGAAATGTGAAGAGCATTGCAGAGGCTCTGAGCAGCCCATTTTCCTCCAAAGACTGTATTTGTATTCAGTGTAGTCATTTACTCTTGCCTGCAGTCTTTTCCTAGGGGACAACAGAAGTGAGGGACTATTATCAGCTAAAAATTGTTCTTCAAGAAGCATTTATGCTTTTTTTTTCTCTCTTTTTTTTTTTTTTTACTTTGAGGGGATGTGGGAGAGGGAAAAGTTTCTAGTGACTCTGCCACCAGATTGTGTATCTTCTGTAAACCGCCATTCTTGATGGAATTTTGAAGAGAAACATGGCTTTTTCTAGTGTTTTAACAACTTGTCTGTTTTTGTTTTTAACAACTTGTCTCTTAAAATGAAACCTAATTATTTTACTAAAGAAACATTTTATCAATCCAAAATAAAGTGAACATCTGCCTACTTATCATCAAAAACCTTCTGTGAATCTGAACTCCATCTTAATGAGGTCTGAAGTACTCCACTTTTTAATCAGTGGGAGACTGCTATTTTATTACATTTTTTCCGTCAAATTAATGTGAAAATTTGAACACACTCATCCTGATTCATGCTACCTGAACTAAGTATCAGTTTTTAACATAAAATTATAATTTCCTACTGGATTTTTTATGATAAAATATATAGATGCTAGTGTGAGTATCAGTGACGGTTGCTGACTTAACCCAGTGGGTTCATTTTAGTGTTGGTCGCCCCAAAAGTACAAAGCTTCTCTTATGAAAAGACAAGCACATAGTTCTCTATATAGAATTTTTGTTCAATGACAAAAATCTGTGGTCTAGTGGAACATTGGGTACATTACTGTAATTTTTGCAGAATGCAAATAGAATGAGTGCTGTGAATATTGTGAAATGAGTTATTGCACACAAATATGCAATATTTAATAGCTGGTTGAATAAGTCATATTGTGGTTTGTGTTTGTATGATGACATCAAGGTCAAACAAAAATATTGCTGTCAGTTACAATGTTTTCACTGAGTTGAAGGGTAGCTGAAGATAATCATCAGAAACTAAAATTAAATGCATCTGTAACCTGTAGATTAATAGCCAGAATCTCTAACATCTTGTTCTTAACTTTGTCAATAATGTTTGCTTAATGGGATGTTTAACATATTTTAACTTTTCTTTCTTTAACTTAACTAGATTGAATAATGTGCTTTTCTTGTTCATTGCTTTTAGGTGGCTTGCCTTATCTCTTGTACATTAATTCTTGTAGTGATCTATGCAGTCGGACCCTTGCTATATTGGATGCCCATGGTACAGTACTCACTTTTAAAGGTTACATCAAGTATTTTCTGAAGACTTGATTTCTTGGTTCTCCATCTAAGACAACTCTCTTTTATTTCCATGCGAGTGAGAGAAGTAAAGGAGGAACATTTCTCAAAATCATAAAATGTATAGATTAATACATAATGTATAGAGATTTTATATATAAATATGTATAAATATACATATATTACATATACTTTTTTAATATGGTTACATGCATAGGCTTCCATATAAGTATATAGTTAAATATTTCTCTTATCTTACTTTTGGCATTATTGTACAATATGTATCCATATTAATTTGACCTTTCCCTAGAGCTCTGAAATCAGTGCTGCTGTGTTTATATGCTGGCTTTGTGTTGCTCTGATGAAGTGTAGAGGGTCAGAACTTCCTGAAGTTCCTGTCTTTTTCTCATGGTCTTTTAGGAAGGAAAAATTGTGTTTAATGCTTCGATTTTTGTGTCACAAGGTCATCAGAACCTATCCCATATTTGAAACACTAAGCATGATTTTCTATAATTAAATTTTATTGGTTGGAGCTGAAGGAAGAATCAATTCCTTAATGAGCTTTTTTATATTATTATTCCCTTATAGTGTGTTCTAGCAAGCATCATTGTTGTGGGCTTGAAGGGGATGCTGATGCAGTTCCGTGACTTAAAAAAATATTGGAATGTGGATAAAGTAGACTGGGTAAGTGTAATTTAGTCCTAGGATGTTTTTCTGAGAAGATTTAACAAATACTTACTAAAAAGCTTTGATAGAACTGCTGTCCAAGAAGACAGAAGCACAAGCTTATAACACACAAATTCTTTTTGTGGGTCTACTACCTATTTATTTTCTGTCTCAGAATGACAGTATCTGAAATATTAATTGTCTTTAAATAGAGCTCTAGCAAATGATTAAAAATCAATCCTAATTTAATACTATATACAGACAGATCAAGTTAATCTGAACAGATATGTATTTTACTCTATAAGTCTGTACAACCCTCTAGCTGTACTAGCTATCTACTGTAGCTGGTTACCACATTTTTGCTATTACAGAATTATTTGAGGTCCTGATATTGTTGTTCTCTTTGTGCATGGGTCAGCAGTACTCAACAAATAGAGCTGGGAACGATGCAGGTCCTGAGTTACTGCAGGTAAATTGCATGAACTCTGTTGGTTTTGTAAGCAGAAGAGAGATTGATTGATCATGGTGAAAGATTCCACAGGATGAGAGCTGATATAGGGCAGAGAGAGGTGGAAAGAGATATGATAAGTGGAAAAGGTATAGAGACAAAGATAGATGGAAAGAAACATAATATGAAAATAAATTTTAGTGCAAAGTCACATGTGCACATAATTCTTTGGAAGTATTAGAGAGATGTTTTAGTGGGACACATTCAAATATTATACCATATTTAGGAAAGCTCCTAGTTTTTTCTTCTGAGAGATCTTTTGATTATATTAGTCCATTGGTAGAATGATATGGTAAGCATTTTTTAGCTTACGTATTACTGGTACAGACATCCCTTAAAGATCTAGGAACTTTTATTTTTGTGCCTTTCAGGTAACACCTGCTCAGGAAGGTAGTCTGACTATATCTTTCTGTTCTGTGGTAATAAGTAGGAGTTTCCAGAAGTGATAGAAGATTCTTTTGAGTTCTTCAGTAATTTAGTATTCTACAGTCGTAAAATACAGTAATTGTTTGTCTAGACTGAATACGATATTTGGTGGAATATTGGGTTTCAGTAAATACGACGAAGTTTGGGTGTGTCAGATCTTTCACAGTGACAGAAGACTAGAATTATTCTTTTGGCAAAACCCAGAAGAAAGGCTCTGCCTTTTATGAAACCTTATGTTCCTCCAGAAGCAAAGTCTGTTTTATGTCACTTGCACAATATTTGGTTTTCTGCTTGACACAGGTTGCCAGTGACCTAAACAATGAATGATATGGAGCACAAGTTGTTTTGACACCAATGGACTGGAGACAATTGGTAGTTACAGGAAGGAGAGCTCTAGCTTCTCCAGCAATGCACTGAGATAATAGTTAGCCAAGTTTTCTAGCAGTGCATTTTGGAAGCTCCCTAGATTTGTTGAGACTTCAAAGATAGACTAAAAGAACTGATTTTTGCTTTTGTGGTTTTGGCAGAAAATTATGGATGAATAGTTAGGTATTAAATCTTCGACAGATATCAGTTTTAAGAGATGCTACATAGAGAAAGAATTGGCTGGATTTATCTTTTTGGCTGAACATATCTGAAACCACCATTTATCTTTGGTAGTTGTTGATCTTACATTGCTCGATTTTTTTTGTTGATCTTACATTGCTGCACAGCACTGATGGAGGCAACCAAGCCCTGTGATTGAGTGACTGCACTGGTGTTGATTTTGGACTTAGGAGATTCACCGCAGCAATTGATAGCATTTGGAAATGAATCAGTTCCATTACCTAAGTTGTCCAAAATATTTTGAAGCTAGGAACTCTATTAAAACCTTTGGAAATAACTGCCTTTCTGGAACAGCTTATGTGAAGTATATACACCATGTAACACAGGACTCTTATACGTCTGACAAATGATAACGCAGGGAAACAGAGTATTGTAGTTTAAGTCAAATTCTTACCTTACTCCTTATCACTTTTATAATATTGTAACTGTGGAATCTTCATACTGCAACGAGCATGAAGAATATTTATTTGTTGATTAGTATTTTGCAAAATCTATCCCTTTTTAAACGTAAAAGGTGCAGCTCCAAATCTCTCCATTTGAAATATTTGATTCTTTCTTGCAAATGTAATGCTTAAGAGCAGCTGAATTTAAATCAGCAGCTAGACTGACAAAGCTAGGTTGGTAATACCAAATGTTATCAGCTAAATATTATTACATATGTTTGCTTTGGTTTTCTTTCAGCTTGTTCTGATAAATTCTCAGGAACATCTTGTTTTTGCACATCACTTCTCAAATCACATTTGGTCTCTTTCTTGCTAGAGGAAAAGATTTACTCCAAGGTCTTCTCCTGTCAGTCAGAGCATTCATATGACCTTAAAGGTCTTTTCCTTCACTTAATGTCTTCTGTCAGCTGCAATACCTCTGGGATGACTTAACAATTTCCAAAATTCTTGCTCAGCTTAATTCAAATATAAATATGAATAATGTAAAATGTTGCTACAACATATAAACATAAAATATAGGTATAAATGATAAAATACATGACAAAATTAATTACACACATATATCAAATTAAAAATAATATAAAATACTTCCTCAGACATTCAAACTATGCAAGGATTAGTTCCTGGTGATAGAATGTTAAATAAAAATATTCTTATTGCTTTTAGCAGTTGGATTTGAAAATCACCAAGGGGAGCGGAAAGTATTTCAGAAGGTGATATTGTGAAACTGTATATGAAAATGGCAATAAAATAAGAAACATTCCTATGAGATTTAAATAATCATGTGATTTAGGTATTCAGCAGAGAAATACTGCAGTATTTTGGACAGGAAAAATGTTAGATGTAGAAATTGTACAAATGATTTTGCCAGAAAATGACCAGACCTGAAATAGCTGAGTTATATATCTGAGTTGTAAATGAAAATGGCAGTAATTTATAATAAAAATAGATATCCCCTGGTTTATGAAAGGAAGCTATGTATGTATGAAATAAAAATTAAAAATATATAAGGGATGACATTAAGTCAGTAATTAAAATACATTCAAAAGAGAGACACTTTTGACAAGCAGCCTTGAAGACCTTGTCACTATGAAGTTCTGAAACACTGAGCAACCACAGGGAATGGGGAATGAAGAAAACAATTCTGATAACTGCCACTATAATATTTCTGTTTCATTCTTACTATTTTTATCTCTTTCATTAATATAATATCAGAAAACACAGAGAGATGGGAGAAAAAAATGTTTTGAGTATTGAGAAAGGTATATGAGCTCCTGTTCCCACGCATGGGCCGGGCTGTCAGGCTAGGCAAGGCTGTGCATGCTCTCTCTGTTGCTCTCCCTGTTGCCATTTCAAACAGCTCAAATCTGAAAATATAAATGAGTAGGAATTAGAGGCCCAGGAGTGTTCTTGTGCAGAAATTTTGCTCTCACCAGTACAAATTCCTGTATTTCTAGAACATCTTACATTATATCCTCCAAAGGATCAGTTTCTTAGTTTCTTAGTGTTTGAGGTATGCATAGCTATTAATCATCAAGGGGCCTAAATCATGACAGAGCTTGGAGGAATTAAACACACAAATTACCACAGAGTAACAAGTTACCTTTTCTATGATAATAATTTTACCTGGATGCTTCTAGCTTTTGACATCTCAGGGAGATTTTCTATCCTCCCTTTCTTAGGGAATATGCTACCTTGAATTACTTTTGCTACAGTTTTTTAAGTGAGTGGGAAGAGGCTTGCAAATGCTTAATCCTTTGAGACTGTGATTTCCATATAAATTCTCTTTAAAGAATAACACTTATGCCAGTCCATCTGGCTCCTAGAAGGTCTGTGTAAAAGAAATACCCTCTCAATATTGTAAAAAATTATATTATAGAACTGCTCTAAAAATCTACTATTACAAAATCTCTATTCGATGACTGTAGTGACAATTTTCCATTTCAGCACTTGGATTGTGATTTTTGGTACAGGTTACCTTTACATCCGCTATGCCAAGGCATGCTCTGAATGAGCAGGACTTTGGACTTTACTGGGATTTTGCTGGCTACATACTGGTGACTAGAGCATGGCCTTCCGTATTTGAGCCAATCTTCATGGCCTCACTTAGCAGACAGCACAGAGCTGGTCAGTATAGTCAGTAAAACTGAGGATATGATTCATCATTTATACAGATGGGCATGTGCATAATTAGATAGGGTCACATGAATGACATCCTAAATGGATCTAGTAACCTCATTTTTATTGACTTTGGTAGGAATCTAGACAGCCCCCTCAGCTATAGACATCTGTACTGTAGATAGTTAATATGAGCTGAAATAAATCTTACTTATGCAGTCAATAGCTGATTATCTTTTCAGTCCACAATGGAAAGGGAAGTTTATTATTTGTTTATGTGTTCTAGGTGTTCCTGCTGGAGCAGGGGAGTTGGACTAGAGGATTTCTAGAGGTCCCTTCCAACCTTAATGATTCTGTGATTCTGTTTTCAAAGTGGTACAGAAACAGAGCTTTGGAGACAGCAAATCATGCACAGTCACCACAGCTCCATGCTCCAAATGCTTCTATTTATTTTGGATATATAAGGCTCAATAGAAATCCATGTCTCCTACTTACTAGTTTTATCTCTTTAGAATTATTTTAATTTATGCAGTACAACCATACTTTGAAGATGGATTTTGTTTTAAACTTTGAGAATAACACGTATCTATAATACATTTTTGCTTGAGAAATGACTTGAGAAATGCAGTGGTGCACATTATATCTATCTTAAAGTAAGTTACCAAAGAAGTCTTTGATGTTTTTATGACTTCTTTGTTGAACCCTATGACAATTCATGAATTAAAAAAAAATATCTAACAGATCAGCGTATCTTCTTTCTACAAGTTGACTCTACCTCTCCTCATAAAGTATTGACTATAGGCCAACATAAATTGCAGAACTGATGACTGGCAGATGAGAAAATGATGGTTTTGGCTCATCCTGTATCACAATAGTTATCTCAGGTTATAAGATGTGAGATACTCAGCTGCGTGAGGGACACTCAGCTAGACTTCTCAGAAGTATTTAATCTTTTTTTGCCTTTGATTCTTCCTATATACACTTTGTATTGTTTTGTCATGCTTTATTTTTCCTTCTGAGAGAGAGAATAATTCTGCAGATCTTGCAGCAGTTGTTACCTAGATGTATTGCAGTAGAAGCAGCTAACTTGATTTTAGGCTTTGTTGAGGATTCAGTCTTTACAAAGCTGGGATAAATGTTGATCTAGTCTGAATTTCAGGCTTGTAGTGCTTCTGTTAACCCTTTTATATACGATAAGCAAAGTTTTATAAATATATATATAGGATATATAAATCTTAGAATTATTTTTTTTACTGATTAATCAGAACTTCATGTTTTTTGTTCATACAGTATTCTTTGCAGATGTACCAGAATAATTTTGTATAAGTTGCTATTTTACTTTTTAATCTTATTTTAAATAAATAACTGGAAATGGAACATTTTTATAGAGAACGAATCACATCTTTAATTAGCTGCTGTCATTGAAAAGACAGCATTTTTTTTTCTGTATTTCAGAAATTTAAAGAGAAGGAACAAAAAGCTTTCTCAGGAGAGATATATATTACTCCTTCCTCTAGAAAGCACAAATTAATACTGTATGTCTTGTTTTTTCTAATTTAGAAAATAACAATTCTGAATTACACTTGAACAAAGATCCTGTATTGAGGTTGAAAGTGTCCTATATTCTCTGGCTTTCGTAAAGGAAAAGCATCAGAATGGATAATATTAACATGGATTATACCATTGTAACATGATTTTTTTTCCTGAAAACTCTAACAAGAACTGTAATTGTTAAAACAGGCACCTAAAAAAAGCTAAAATACCTCTCATTCTTCTTTTCCACTTTATATAAAAAAAATCAGCTGTTAGTTTTTACTTAAGGAAATATTTGCTGAATATTTGTGATACTAGGCTGACATAGGAAATCAAGTTCATATCTTTTTCATTTTAATTCTAAAATCTTGATGTGTCCATTTTCTCTTTAGAAAATAATTGAGGAAAAGATCCTGAAGTATAGAAATGTTTTTACTTTGTAATATATAAAATTCTTTTTACAAGTAATGATTTTTAAAGATATACTTATTATTTTTTATTTTGTAATTAAAATAAATAAAATATTTTTCTATTCAGTTATTGAGAGATGAAGAAGCATTCTGCAAATCCACAGTTTTCATTTAAACAAATTGGTTTCTCAAGAATTTCTAGTTGTTACTGAATTATTTTAGTTTGCTGTACACTGAGAAATGACCCTTTTAATTAACTTTATTGCAAATTGTAACTCCCACTTAACAACCAGTGGGAGAAGGTCTCGCTGTATGTGACCTTTAAGACACTTCTCTGTATGAGGTAAGGTGAGGACTTTTTACTGATAATAATTGGACAATGTGGAAAATTGAATATGATTTTTATAAATAGACCAAATTTGTTCTGAATTATACTGTTATCACATCCGTATATACTTTTTTGAGTAACTCAGAAATGAATTTCTATGAGAATAGGATTTGTAATCTCAGGCCATATGTGTTCTCTACTGGAGAAGTGTTATTTTACTCACTGACATTCTTTTTTTGTTCATTTTAAGATCCTACTGATCACCTCTTTATGCTAAGAAAGTGTATACAATTTAAAAATCTGGATTTTCAACTTGTAAAATATACATCATTGCAAACATTGAAACTAATCACCCCTGTGTTTTCCTCCTTAAAGAGCATATGGGTTAGTACCTATGTGTTTACAATATGCTTTGCTGCTAACGTGGGACTGTTGTATGGAGTTGTCTGCACAATCTCAGTTGTGATTTTCCGCTTTTCCAGGTGAGAAATAATTTATTGAACTATTCCATTAGTGCATGGTCATAACTTCTTTTTGCCATATTGCTTCACACTTTGTAAAGACATACAGTACAGTGACATTAACAAAGAAGCTTCACCTTTTTTGTTACTGAACACTACAACATAAGAAAACTGAAAAGGGAACATCAACTGAGCATTTGTTGAAGACTAAACATTTTTTTTTCTATGAGGCTATTATATGTTTTCTGTTAGAAGTTACACATCCCTATAACTCACTAAGTGAGGGTGTAAGATCAATAATACACATTTTCTTTCATTAGATCCTTGCTTGCTCTTTCAAAAAAAAAAAAAAAAAAAAAAAAAAAAAAAAAAAAAAAAAAAAAGAAGCAGGATGTCTGACAAGCCTTGGTGATTAAGTTCCATTATAAACTTTCAGACACTGTATTGCTTAGGAAGTGCTAGCTGACAATTTAATTCCTAAAATATCCTAATAGAAGAGAATTGCACAACTTTTCTCCTGTCTTAAAGGAACCTTTCGAATGTCATGTCTCCATTAGAAAAGTCAGGATGAAGAAACTGCAGTTAATAAAATTATTTATATTCTTTTTCATTATATACTGGAATTGTTCCTTTGGTGAGTAAAGTTCTTTACTCACTTTACTGTGAGAAAAAAAAAAAAAAGAAAATGGTTTGTCTCATGTGGCAGTTACTTGCATGGACATTGAATCCCACTGGAGTTAACTGCAATATAGCCAGCTTGATTCAATGCCTCTTTAAGTTGACGGTGTTGACAATGTAGGCAGGACTCTATTCTTATGCATTAATTTGCAGAATCAGCATTTATATAATTTCCAATTGTACCACAATTATAAATTTTAATAGATGGTTTCTGATTGAATCTGCTAGTACATTTTTAGCAATGTCCTCTCAATAAACTCAATAAACTAAACTTTTTGAAAATTCTGCTAGTAAAGGAAGATATATGTTTTCATGTTATTTACATGCTGTGATTGGATGTCTGAGGTTGAACAGCAGAGGATGAGTGATATTTGCCACAAAACAAAAGTATTCTCTTTTGTCTGACATAGTGGAGACTAGAGTTTGAATAGGCATTAGAGTAAATAAGAATCTATAGAAATAAGATGATAGTTTTATAGTTTTGTTCTGCAGTTAAATGGGTTACCTCACATGATGATTTAAAGCAGAAAGGAGACTTTCTTTCTCCATTTACTGTATAGAGAGCCTAGGGAGAAATAAGGCTTTTTTAGTCATCTCCTGCTTTGATAGCTATAGTCTGAAGTTCTGCTTTGTTATACTGAGATGCATTTATTTCAATTACAAATTTCTTTAGTTTTCATGATCTTTAGCTATCTAATATCTTCTCTTTTTTTCTTACATCCTGGTTTTACAGTAAAAATGTTAATTAAATCTCTTTACTTCTGAAGTAGTAACTATATATTAGCTACTTTGAATAGAAAATTCCTCTCCAGCCAGATGACTAGCAATAATGAGACTTAAAATTAACCTTTTATTTACCATTTATAAAGCAATATACTATATCAACATTACTGGATTAGCAAAGAGTTTACTTCTTGGTAGCTGTTTATCATGAATATGCTGGAAGAATTTATTTTTCTCTAATATATGCCTTTTACTGTTTTTATTGCCTCACCACTACTAGCTTTATAAGTGCAAAAATAATATGGACTTTATTGCCACAACTTTAAATGTTTATATTATCATTTATCATATCATATCATATCATATCATTTATCATATCATATTATATCTCTTCCTGTTTCTGTTTGAAGCTACTAACAGTTTTTCCTTTCTCTATGTACTGGTTGCAGAGTAAAGACACTGAATTTGAAAAATATGAAAGAGGTGGATTATAAATACAAAACAGAAGAAAACTGTGTAAGTTTAATTATCTTTTTTTGGGCTTTTTTTTTTTTTTAATCTTCTGTTGCTGGTTAGAGGCTTATAATCTGTGCCTTAAAGGAACATTTTTGAGAAATTTCCACTTCAAGGTTAATGTGAAAAAAATAAATAAAGAACTAGTTTGGGACTCATGAAATTGGAATATTCCCTGTTCCTGCTGCTGGTCTGTAAAGTTAAGTTAGGCAAATCCTCTTACCTCTATCTTTCCCAGCCTGTTTATTACTCTTCTATTTGGAACTGCTTTTTGAAAAAGGATTTCTTAAATCCAGTCAGTCTAGGAAAAGCTCATTCCAGCAAGGACCATGTCCACAACCAGGTCTCTGTAGTCTTATGAGATGCCTCTGTTCTTGAGATGGTGCGACTTTGATAACAGTACAGAGCTGTCACAGACCACCTCATGCAACTTCTCACCATCGTGTGCTCACATACGGGCACTCAGATGCAGAAAAAGAATGCAGGTCTCCTTCCAGATGTTTGGGATTTTTTTTTATATTTGGCCTTTGCACAACTTCAACCTAGCAGGTCAGATTTTTAAGATTTTTTTTTTTTTTTTTTAATTTTCATTACTATTATCCCCAATTTTCTTTTGGTCTGGCCTGTGATAAGAAAAGCAATGGCCCACCGAGGAGAACTGGCTCCTCCAAAGTCAAGGGTAAGTCAGCAGATGAGAGAGAAGGGCAGCCACAAATCTTTCCAATACACAGTCCTAGTCACTAAGATACGTCTCCTCTTTGCAGTGCTGGCTTCTACCATGTTTGCTTTTCATTTCATGTACTAAGTAACCTATATGTCAGTAAGCAGCACACTCAACAGCCACTAAGACTCAGTATTAAGAAGTACCAGTCCAAAGAAATTATTTTTTCTGATAAATGTTCTAAAATAGAGATATCTTACTCAAAATCTGAACTTGGTTCTGGAGGGTTTACTTTTCTGGCACATCAAAGAAATCTGGGATATAAAAATACAAGAGGTAGGAGAGGCCTCTGAAAATGAATTAAAAACACTATCGTTGAACCTAGCCCAACAAAATAGTCAATCAATATATCACTTTTCATTAAAAAGAAGTTGGACTAACTTTGTCAAAGATGTGTAACCTCAAATTTGATTTGCATGTTTCCTTTCCATATCAGTTTGTAAAATATTTGTACAAATCCATATGTTTCTCCTTTTTTTTTTAAAGCTAAATTCTCTCCTGCTTTTTTCTTTAATCACTGAGTATACTGCCAGTCCCCATGTAATAACAAACTAGTATCTGCAGGCAGCATGYGGGGGGAATAACATTTTGTTAGTAAAGCAAATTGCTCAAGAGCTTATTGCACAAAACAAAGAAGGAAAATATTTTTAAGATTTAGAACAATACTTTTAATTTAATTTAGAGTCACTGAATTACAGTGGTTATTTAGAAGTAAATATATGAATGTTAGAGTGATCCAAGTTCCCTTTGTAAATAACAGTTCAGACATAAACAGGACATTTAAACATTAAAATATTGAAGTTTAATGATTTACTCTGCCATTTTATTCTTTGGATTTATGGAAATTATTTCATCAATAGAAAAAGAGACATTTTAATGTGGAAAAAAATCAAGAGAATATTTAGGAACTTATGTGAAACACATTGCATCACAGACATTCACTTAATCAAATTCCTGCTGAAGTAGACAGAGTGCACTGCGCGTAAGACAGCTCTTGGTCTTCTCCTAAGTGATATGAGTTAGCCACTTTGGATAATTTTACTCCTTCGTTTGCAAGAATACATGAAAAGGAACTCATTAACCTCAAAACAGTTTAGATAAAGCTTTGGAAATGTTTTAAGAAAGGCACTAGAACTGAGCTAGGGCCAGGAATCACTGMATGTCTGGCACAATTTTCCTTGCCCATCCCAGAATAAAAAGATTACACCCATACTTTACTTGATCTGGCCTAATGATTTCAGCCTTTCAAGGTGAATCGCTTGTATTTTTGGAAGACTATTAGCTTTCTGCTCATCATAGACCTTTGTATGTCTCTCTCGCTTTTTCTTAGTTTTTGTCTTTTACTCTGCTGTTTCTGATATGTCACCAAAGTGCCTGCTTGTCTCAACATCAAGTATGTCGTGCCCTCTTTTCTCTTGTGATAGAGTTTTCTTTTGTATAATCTTAGCCATTCTAATTGAGAGTTAGGCTTTGCCACTTTACTGACCGAGGTATGTTGCTGATGKTATATTTACCATAATCGCATTCATAGATAGATTGTGTGAAATCAGTATACATAATCTGGGGTTCATTGCCAAAGTTTGAGATGTTTGAGATGCTTCATTAATCTGTGTGATAGTTGCTGTGTCTGAGAGGGCATCTGGTTCCCAGAAGTCTGAATAGTAATCTGCAATAAGGAGATAGTTTGTGTGGTTTGTGGTGAAGATTTTCATTCCTGTTTTGTCTRTTGGGGAAGCTGTGTGACTTCAGTCCAAATCCATACTCTACTGAACTACTTGAAAAATTGTCTYGGTGCCAGCTCTGCTTATTTTTGTGTTTGAGTATGAGCTTGTTAAGTAGCTTAATGAATCTCTGGATTTTGTTAGGATGAATAAAGGCTTTGGGGGCCTYCATTCTCTCTTGTAAATTCTTGCTTTTTATTTTCTGTTACTGGTTTGTCACAAGTAGTTCTTACATAAATCTTTTTTTTTCAGTAGCTGATGCATGTTTTGTTTATCCAGACCCATTTCTGTATTTGGTGATAAGATATCTTATTAAATAAAACACTTCTGTGGATTGAAATCCTTCTGGAATACTTCTAGAGACTAGGCTGACATACTGAGACATTGTTAGTTGTATGAGAGCCTTGCTCCATTAAAATTAGTTGAATATTGTCTCTTACTCTATTTTCGTTTTTCAAAAGYGTGCAATTTTTGCATGAGACGGTTGAAACTGATGCTCTTTCATAGTGTGTTTTGCATATGGAAGTGCATGTTTTGTGGGAAATGCTGCCTGKTGGTAATTGGGTATTTCTGACTTTTATGAGTTGTCCTTCAGTACTCATTCTGATGTGTAAATCTTGTGGAGTGTCCTACACAGACACCTGTGGATTGAGTGAAATATATTCTAGGAAGTGCTAATGTAGAATTCCAGGGTACTCATGGTTCTTGTGTTGATTATTTATTGTACTGCTTACAGAAATACGTTAGCCAAGCTTTACATTCAGATTTGGTCTAGAACTATTTTGTACCAGTTGAAGTGTTGTGATTTTATTTTTCCTGAAGGTTTTGGTGAGGTAAGAGAAGATCCAGAGGGATTTCTCTCAAGGCAGGTGCTTCTGCTACAGGTTTTACTGTAAAATGATTTTCTGCTCTTGATTCCRGAACAGATGTGAAACCAGAGCGGGTAGGAGTAGTGGGACTTTCCTTCAGTACCAAAGGCTTTTATTCTGATGGCTTTTTGCCTTTCCCTGAAGATATGCCCTTGTTGTATTAAAGAAGTCACCTTCAGATGACTGAGATGCACAATGCAAGTGTTCCTCAAACCACTAGTGCTCTATGTCGCCAAACTTGTCTGCTTTTTCCAATACACAAGTCTAACAAAAGACATCCCCTTTCTCTACACCCCTGGTCTTGCCTGTGCAGAATCATAGCAGTTGAAATAATGCTATGTTATTTGCCAGATATTAGTTCTTAATATGATATATTATGGTGAATATGATTTTGCTTTTGTGCTGTCTTGAATTAGCTCAACGTTCTTATATTGATTTACAGGATTTTTTAGGAAACTGTGTTGGTTTTAATCTCCATAGCTAAGATAATCTTCTCAGCCTTTTCTTTATTTCATCTCACAGGAATCATTGAAACAGGCACAGATAATTTCAATCAATAACCCATTAGTCTTTCTGAATGCCAGGAAATTTCATGAAGATTTGATAAAAATAATCCAGAAGGACAGCACAAGCACTCAAGCATATGAAGATATAAACAAGGTAGGATGTGCTACATCCATCAATAATCATGATGACAGTGTTCAAGATCACCTTGCTTTCCTTTATTTTTTTAGAGAATGTAATCATATATTGAAATAGATAGAAAAAGGTAATATCGCAAATGATTAAATTACAGTAGAATAATGTCAACCTCAATCTTTATCAGATTTGGTATGGCTTTTGTATTATTACTTGAAAAGTATCCCTCCAACATTTCTCTAAATGTGATTCTATAAAAGACATTGAAGTGCTGACTTTTTGACGTGCTTTTTAAAATGTCTGGCAGACCCTGCATAACCTCAGCTAATATTATATAGTGATTTTATAAAGACAGTGAGTAGTTACAATTCCAGTTGCATAAAATGTAGGGGTTGTGCAGGGTCAGCAGGTAGTTATAATTCCAGTAGAATAATATATGAGGGATTGTGCTAGAGATCATTCTGGAGATCTTTTTGACTCTAACAATAATTCCAATAGTAAGAATTTATAAATGTGTAAAACTACTAAAATTATTTTCTAAAATACTTTTCTTTTTCATTTTATACGTTGTTTGTACTGATATCATTTTTTTTCCTGATAAAATAAACAGGATAATATTATATATAATTTGGTTCTGGGTGATGCCACTGTAATTATAATACTTTTCAAATATATCTGCACATAACTACAGCATCTTCCTCTAAACTTTCCTAAAAGGGAGAAATTAGTTTTCTTTCATTACTGTAAAGACACACTGTGCAAGGCTTACTGGAAGTAATTTCATCCAATTTGGTTGACTGAGTGGATAAAACCACAGCTATTTCCTAGACAGGTTGTTAAGGCAGCACAGAGCAGTCTCTGCCCACCACCAAGAGCTGGGCTGCCCGGGCTGGGGTGACCATCTCCTCCTCACCATGTGGGAAACCAGCTCTGAAAACAGAGACTGTGACRTTTGTTTTCCTTTGCTCTGCGGGTAGCAACTGATATTTAGATAACAAACCTCTAAACAGAAAGAAATTACTTTGCATTTATTTGGAATTAGTTTATGAGTTAGATTGATAAGTGTAATAAGTTAATAAGTTAATTTCATAAGTTCCTTTATAAGCTACTGGGTCGGGAGATTCTATCCTTTGTCTCCTCTGAAAGGTACCCGACAGTAAAACTAGCTTAAATAAAGCACATACTCTTGTTTTGTGGAAAAAAAGGCCTTTTTTTAGAACTGTAGGAGTGAAAAAAATGGAGTTTGGATCTTGGTTTCTGTTCTGTACTTCTGATTTTAACTGCTATTTTTATTGGAAGCTTAGCTACTTTAAAACCAAAATCATATTAATTTTTTTTGTCCAGATAAAAAAGAATTCTTTAAATATTTTTACACATCAAAACCATTCTCTCTAAAATATACTTCGATGAGATTGCAGCAAAAAAGAGAATAAGTTGAATACTAATCTTATGAAATTACATACTTGAATTTATCTTCTTCAGAGCATCTTTTCATGCTTTAACCACTTCTCCTGCATGCCTCCCTGCCCCATAGAGCATTATGATCATAATGTGCTTTCTAGTGGATCCAAAGTAGTCATAGAAGTTGAGCAATCTTAAGTAATGTTGAGTTTGTGGAAGGATTAGCTTTCATATTGAGAAACAGAATTCTTATGTATTGCATTGTTTTTCTCTGGTTATTGCACATTGGATTTGTATATGTTAAATATTTGTTGCTTTTATTTCAGTGTGAGCAGAATGCGTTGCTCTGTTCACTTTCCAATGGAAGTTGTTGTGGTGAGTTTATTATTTATAAATCATATTAAAAACAAGATGAATGTAAGCATGCAAAACGGGTCCACATTTTTTCATTTATTTCTATGCTAACTCAAATTGTCTGGAAACTAATATTTTCAGTTAATGAAAYTGGAGAGAAAAAAACCACTCATTAGAAAAGAAAAACAAACTACGAGGCTTAAAGTTTTGGAAAGAAGGGGAGCAGATAGACATGATCCTTAATCCTAACTGTAGTTGCCTTTAGAAGAGGCAACTTGTGCATGTCTGTGGAGTGTGTTTGTGTATTTTTTTACCTTCAAAATGTTTGTTAGTGAATGAATTTCAGTGTAATAATAATAATAATGTTTCACAGTGTGCTGCTGTTACGTATCAAGTATATACCTTTTAGATGTAAGGTAATCTCAATTCTGTGTCTTAAAGGGTCATTTCTAAACTGAAGCAATGATTATTGGCTTTCATTCCCTTTTTATATATTTATATATTTATATATTTATATATTTATATATTTTATATATATTTTATGTATTTATATATTTATATACATTTATATTTATATATTTTTTATTTGCATTTTGCTTCTGTTGCAAGAAACCTCTTAAACTTAAGGAAAAAATAAATACAATTTACTTTTATTTAAATGCTATTCTTAAGACATTAAAAATCATATATTTAGGCAACATAAAGACTACAAAGGAAAAACATATCACAAGACATTTTTTAAGGCAAAACTTGCTAGAACCTATAAATATGAATGTGTATGTGAGTAGGTAATACAAAGAAAGACTAAGTTCTTTTGTTTCAGAGACACAGGAGGTGTATAGAATCGATTGCCTGGAACAGCTTAGCAGATCTCATATATTCTTTGGCATTTCTATAGCATTAGTGACAGGCAGGGGTTTTCCTTATGATTTTATTTTTGTTTGCAATGTATTTATCAATGTACACCAGCCAGTACAAAGACAATCAGTCTTTGGATGTGCAAGTCCAAAGGCTCGGGCTCATAAACTACTTTCAAGAGGAATTAGTGCCATTATAAATCTACACTATGGGGAAATTTTAAGTCGCCTCAAGATTTTTAAATCCTTTTCTTTTTTGTCCATTCTTTCAAAACCATTTATCTTAACTCATCTCTACACTTATTTTCCTTCATCTTTTTGGAGTGCTTTGTATTTTATGATAACTAACATTAAAGTTAGTATTTATCCACAGAGCACTGTAAATAAGCATTCTTTTTATGTTTTCTCATTATGAAAGGAATCATTTATTTATGTCCTACTTTGGGAAACATTTAGTGCAGTATATGTTTTGTTGAAGCACAAGCCAGTTTGAGTTTGGAAATTGAGTTTAAGACCATCACAAATCTAAACGACATTTTTTTTTTCTTTCTAGGATCAATACGTTACAGCATATATATATTGCAAAAACATTGAATAAACAAAAAAGAACATAGCAAAAACTGTTAAAAATTTAAAAATAGTTTATTTTATGATATGTTATTAAAATGCATGTTTCTTGAGCATTCCTCCATTAATTGAAACTCTTTTCCAATATTAAATACGTTAGGTGAGTCCTTGTCTCAGCCATGCCACGAGCAGCGACAGGCTTTGATACTAGACTGCAGTGGACTGAATTTCTTCGACTATACTGGAGTCTCAATGTTGCTTCAGGTATTTAGATACATTCTACATATATAAACAGACATATAAAAATATATACACATACTAGTTATTGGASTTAGCTATTAATCATCTCAATCATATGTGGATTGACATGATTGCTCATGAAAAAGATGAGCATGGATTTGGTAAGACACTGCCCTGTGTTTATATAACAAATTATATTAAAACATCCCTAATTATTTTGGAAGGACATTTAGTGTGGATGTAAATATACATACTGATTGGGGATGAGTTTCTGAAAACACTCTTTTTTTTTTAGAAAGCTGTTTTAGGTCATATTCAAGCTTATTCAAACAAGTTTTTCTATGTATGTGCTGCTATCACTAGCCCAGAGGTCTTAATGATCCCCCTGTTTTACTCTGTGGGTATAACTCATTCATAGCCCAAGCTCCAATACACTCCCAGAAGACCCAAAGCAGGAACCACATAATGATGAGTTTTATAAAGAAAATGAAAAGCTATGTTCAGAAACTATCTCCTACTTTGCCATTGGTCTTGGCTTTATACAGAAGATGTTTAGTGAGTATAGATTTACTGGGTATGCAAAATTTGGTTCATATCATCTCTCTGAATGTGGTAGAAGATTTAATTTGATCTGGAATGAACCCCAACCCATTTCTTCTAACATTTTCTTAGTCTACTGAAGTGATTAAGCAGCTAAGTAAGTGCTGAGTTAAATAAAAGATAAAAATAGAAGTGTTTAAATTGAAAACACATATAGGTGGAGAGATGGTCAAAATGAAAACTTGAAAAAGAAAAGGTGAGTTGAGGTTACCAAATATTTGTGATAATAAACAGATAGCATTCAATAAAACTACTGGGAAAAGTGTTAATTAAAATACAAACAAGTAAAAATTTTGAACTGAATTTCCAAAAGATCTTAGAGACCTCAGGATTACAAGTGACACGAAAGGATGCTAAACAAATCTGTGGGTAGCAAGCCCATCTTTGGCTATAAAATGCATGGGCTGTATGAAATACAACCTGACTCGGACTGACTGGTCAGAAACTGAAACACCCAAGGGAGGAAGACAGGAAACATCCTATTTGTTACGCTTCTTCCCTAAATATCGTCACTACTTCTGGTGATAAGATCTTGGTAAGATGGATCCTTAGAGAAAGTCAGAGTTTTGGTTCTTTTCATAAGATAGAGTGTTCTGGTGTAACTCTGATTTAATCTTTCCTCTTAGAATTGTTCCAATTTATTTGGATTATTTAAGTATTCTTTAAAGCAGACAATGTGAACAGTATTCGTCACCTTCCAGAACCATCTTCTCTGGTTCTGAATTTATCCTTTTTTATATCTTTTCTCTCTCACTTTTATATACCTTTTCTATATATCCTTTTATTTACCTTTTCTCTCTCACTTTCTAACTTACTGAACATTTAGTCTCTGCCAAGCTGAGCGTTTGCTGAGAGAACCACTTGCTGCAGAATGTATCATACTCGTTATGGCACTTTTGTGATAAACTGATGGACATTTCAAAGTCTCTTAGTTCTTCTTCCTATCTTTGTCATATGGTATGTAAGAACATGGAGATTAGTTGGAGAAACTTGTAAAAAAAAGCCATACTAATATAATATTTTGAAAAAAATCTTTTTAAATTTTTAAATAAGTCAAAGTTATTAATCAAAATCAGACTTAATTCAATTTATTATAAGTAGGCCTGAGGAGTACTTTGAGGCAGGGGGAGGAAATGACCCATCTCTGTTTAGTGTGGGCTTTGTGGTGTTTATATTACAGCATGGCTCTCTCTGGTGGCTGCTGRCAGTATAGCTGGACGAGCAGTGCTAGCTCTTTGCTTATGTTCTTTTGTGTATTTTATTCTCTGTTGGCATTTTAAACAGTTTTTTTTAATATCTTGTTTTCATACTTTTAGATTTACATGGATTGCAAAAGCAGACACATTGATGTGTTGCTAGCACACTGCAAAGGCAAGTAGCAGCTTATAGCAAAATTTCTAGCATGATGGTTTAAATACACTCACTACTTTACCAGTGTTTGTCTGTTTGTTTTGTTACAGCTTCCTTGATAAAAGCTATGCAGTATGGAGGAAACCTGGACTCTGAAAATCCCATCTTCTTTGAGTCTGTTTCTTCTGCAATCAGTGCCCTTCAAATCAACAGGGTGAGACTTACAGCAGTGGGGAGGTGAAGTCAGGAAGGTTTCTTGGGAAATCTTACTTATTCGGTGAACCTGTTGTGCTTAAATCTTTTATCTTTCTCTGTAACACGTTCCCAGCCTCTGGACCTCAGTTATTTTTTCCAACTTGAACTGTCTTTCTGTCATCTTCTCCTCTTCCTTTATCAATGACCTCTAGGTCTTCTGTGCCAGATCTGAAGGCACAGTGTTCTAGAGCATTAATCTGGATGCTTTCTCCTCTGGAACAGGGAGAGAAAAATACCTGTTTTAGTCTCTTATAAGGTATATTGCACCTCATTCTGTACTGCCAGAGCTAAACTCCTCCATTCCTCAGCATAGGTTGTTTAAATGCTATTGGAGGCTGCACACCCTTAGCTGGGATGTGCTTCTGGTGCAGTATGATCCTGAGATTCACAAAAGCAAAGAAATAGAGAAGCGAGTCAAATTCCAACAGGACACTGCTGCTCTGCCTGAAATACTTCTAGAAGTTTAGCAGATGAGCATGTCTATGCTGCATTGCAATGTGCTTACCTGTAAAAAGAGGAATTGGATGGGGTGGAAGAGAGAGCTGCAGGAGGAGGAGGAAGAAGAGTTGGCTCAGAAGTTGAGGCTGGAGGCTTGAACAAACATTTATTTGCTTGATAATAGTTCTTGCATTCCTTCTTAAAAGGCTATAAACCTTTTCTTTCCTTGTAAACAACGGGCACATTTTCATTGCAATCCCGCTGCAGTGGAGCATGCAGTGTAAGGACTGAGCTTTCCCATGCTTCTGCTTTTGCTTACGATTCCCAGCATGACCACGGCTAGCTCAGCCTTCTCCAAAAGAAATTAAACTAATCATGACTATGAGTCCCAGCCCCTGTTGCTGTGATCTGGTAACTTTCATTAATGACCATTGCTGTTACCTGTGGACAAAATCACTTTCCACTGATTTATCTAGATAAGGTGAATTGGCTCTGTTGGTCTGGTAGCTTGCAGACCAAGAAAAACACATTCTTTTCAGTGCTTTTCAATAGTCTTCACTTTTTTTGTCCTGCAACAAAACCCTTATTGAAATGGTAACCACAGGGCAAAAATACCAGGGCTGACTATTGTATATTTCATCTGAGTCAGATTAGAACAAATTAGGATTATTAATGTGTTTTACTGTATTATAAAATTTCTGCATTCTTTGTAGAACTGATTAACTTCCTAACATTCTTCTCAGATAGTTATGTTGTAGTATTCCCATTTTATGGAACTAGGGCATGAAAAGACCAGCTGAATGATCCAAAGGCATGGAGGAAGTGAAAAGTAGAAGCCAAGCATCCACTTTTTCAGGAACTGATAGTATGTGTCTACCAGAGCTACTTGGCAAATCAAAGCTCTCAACCCAAATTATTTATGTAATTCTGAACAGTGAATAGGTGCTGCTGCTTCTCTCTCTTTTGAGCCTTCTAAGGAGTTGGTTAGGTTTCCTGATATGTTCCATGTAATTAATACCTGGGGATAAGAGATGATGAACAGGGATAAAATGGATGGAGGACCACAGCAGCAGCCGCCCACTGTAGCCAACACAGTTCTGTGCATTTAAATGTCTTTTAATGATGCTGAGGCCAGTAAGATTTTTGAGTGCTTATGTGGGGAAAACCTGCTAAAGATAAAGATAGAAAATAACAGAATGGAAGTGGAGAATTATAAAGTGATTTGTTCCAATTTACATTTTGAATTTCGCTTCAGGAAATAGTCTTTAACTGACAGAAAGATAGAGGAAGAGACAATATGGTTACATATCATCTGCTACTGCTATTTGGATATGCAAAGGTGCTCTTATCTAAAACTTCAAAGGAAAATATCACATCATCCTTTCTCTTTACTAATAAGAGACTCATCTGATGTTTAATGCAGTTCATCCTTATCCTAAAGAACTTTTGATTTATTAACCTCTATGCTGGTGACATTTTTAAATTCACACTGCTTCATCTACTATTTTTGACTGATATTATAGGAAAATAGTATAATGATCTTTTTCTGTTTCTCTCACTTCAGAATTACAGCAAATTCAGTGAACAAAGTGAAATGTAATGTCGACACACTGCATGTGTTTTTTTTGATCTGCTCATATTTGGAGTGAATACACCACAGTTTTTATTTGGCTTCTTTTTTCATCAGGAGATCTTGCAGAAGATRTTTTGTATAACATATATGTTTACTGCATTTAGCAGTGACAGGTCTGCAGAGAAAGAGAAAAAAAATCAGATACCATCACTCAGAGAATTTTTATATACTTGTTCTATAGTGGTTTTATATAATATTTTTATACACATTTAAATACAAATTATTGCAAGCCAGATATGTGGTATTGTCCATGTTTATGAGTGAGATATATTATTTTAAATCTCTCCTGTTGTAATATTAGTTGTAATATACATCTATAGTTCTGTGCATGGAATAATAAGACATTATAAATCCTGGAAAATGTTATAAATGACTTGGTATATGGAGGGAAATATATCAATGCATACTCAGTTTCTGTCTTTCTGTTTAAGACAGTCATTTTTAGTCACAGTATCATACCACAGCTACCATCCTTGCATTTTTCTTTTTGGTTATCATATGCTTTTTAACAGCTGCCAAGGTCAGTGGGAGCTCTGCATTCTCAGAAAAGGCAGATAGATGTGTGTTGACCAGTGCTCAAGATAGTCTCCCCTTCTAATCATAGAATTATTTTTATAGTTTGCTACATTTTCAAAGCACGGGTGTTCTTAGCTGAAATGGAAGAAGAAAAACTGGCATTCTTTTTCCAATTTTTTTCCCGAAGTTTTTAACTATTCCTAGTGTTTTTCTAGCGTGAGCTGTGATATGGTTTGTGCTGAAATATTCAACTGTGGCAGCTGAGAGGTGACAGTGGAGTGACCCAAGGTATATGCCACATTTCAGCTCAAATTTCCCTATGCGGTACTGAATGAAAGCACACAAATGTGGTGGAAGTATTCACAGTTTGAAAATATTTGCCTTGTAATTATGGATTGCTATCAACAATATTAGATTATGCTATCATATTAATACTGTACACAGGAGAAATCAGTACCAGTCAGATGCTATACCTGGTGGAAAATGACTTCTTGMATTCTTGGACTCAAGAACTGGCTATTATATTCGGTTAGTAATTGTCTCAGATAGTCTTAGTAATTTATTAACTCTGCAGATACTGTTTACATTGTACTTTAACTGTAGAGAATCAATTGTATATCACAGTTGAACGGAGATGTCTACTTAAATGCAAACTGAATCAGTGAATAAAAGATACYTATCTACTCTATTAAGTTTACTATTTACACTTTAATGCCTAAATATATTTTCTGAAAGTTTGTAGAGAAGGTGATTAGTAATATTTTTCAAAACAAGAACTGTAACAAACATAACATCCACTATAATGATCCTGTATGCTATTAGCACTTATTGAAATCCTCTACACCCCTGCAGCAAATTAAAAATTTTTCAGTGCTAATCAAATTTGTTGTCCATTTCCCACTAATTTCAACAGCAATAAATTCTCCTCAGCTAAATGGCTGTTTTGAGATGGACATTTATTTCCCATTTGGTCAAAGACCTTCTTGTGGTACAATGTCACTTTAAAATGTGTTTCATTGAGCTAAGACTATACATTTAAAATGTCCTAATGCTGTGGTTAGTTAGTTAATTAGTGGTTGAGTATCTCTCAGAGTAGAACCAGGACTGAAATGCATTTCTTACCTTAAGACATTTAATTGTCTCTACATTTTTAAACATTCCAATACTGCACTTTGGGATGCTTTAGGATTTCTGTAATGCTTTTTACTTTATATTATTAGCCTAAATTTCCTTTTACTTCTGAGAACAAGAAATTGTTAATTAGCTTTTATTCCTGGCAAGTGGCATCAATGCAGATATGATATTATTTCTTCTCAGAAAACAATATTCAAGGAACTATAAAGACAGTGACCTCCTCAGTTGTTTTGAAACACCTGCACAACTGCTCTGTACAAATCGCTGAATTTAAGCCTTGCCAAAGCAACAATGTTTTACAGAAATGATTAGTGGATAAGGGAAAGCCATTTTTTTTTTTGCTAGTGACCTAAGGAAGCAAATTACTTCAGTGGTGATTCGGTTTCCTTCTTTTTTTCCACTGCCACCAACCTGAATTATTGAAGATTACGAAACTGTTAGTATTAAGTTCACTGTCTTCAATGACCAGGATGATATGTTGCCCCATTTCAAATTCCAGTGACTGACCATTAGGAAATCACTGACTGCTCTGGTTGTGGCTATGAGGTGCTGAACATTTTTTTTTGAGTTACTCACTGAAAATTTCTCTTGATAATGTGTTTGTTTCATTTAAACAGTAAATTTAAAATTAGCAAAAGCCTGATTCTTTTCATGAAAACTTAAAGAAGCATCCCAAGCCTTTTAGACTAAGTCATGGAGTGTGGTATCAATTCCAGCCTGTTAATCCATGCTGTTTTGTGTAGATTGTCAATTGGATCCCTCTGGCTCATCAGGAAGTATTTGAGGGTAATTTTACAAGAGCTTGTCATAAAATCTTCAGTTAACATCCCCAAAAATATTTTTCTGATTCAGAACAACAGCATAACCAAAATTCAACCTGTAGCAAAGACACTGCATGAAAACCATGTGCTATTGAGCTCCTTTTTCATGGCAGGCTGAGCTCTGATTCTCCTATCCTTGCAGTGGGGAATTTGAGATATGAAGTGTAAGGGGCGTTCGTTACTGTGCTCCCCTAGACAGAAATTCGTCTTTGTGCCTTCCAGACCTATTCTGACATTTTTCAGAATACGGTGCATTTTTATTTTCTGCCTTTGTATATGTAAGATCGTGCAGTTTCGGTAGTAAGAGCACAGTCCTGGAATAATAATGCTGAGCTCTCCCACTTCCTATTGATTTCTTAAGGCGGGAGAAATAATCCATGCTTCACAGTAAAGGCTCAAAGAAGTGAAGGAAGTGTCTCAGTTACTAACAAACCATTCTGAAAGGTTTTCACTAATGAAGTTGATGGAAGCAATTTTGTAAAAGAAACCATTTATTTTTGTTCCTAAACATGTACACTTAGATGCCCAGATTCCACATTCCTAAGTCCAAAGCATATGAACAATATTTTGAGCTACTTGCTTGASGTTTTTAGGAATTTTTAGGAAATGTCCCTAAAATTTAGGATTCACTCTAACATTTTTCTGCAAATTTTAAAATGCATTTACTGGAGTATGCTAAAATGGGTATCTCATCATATTTTTCTTAGAGAATTTGTGTTTCACACATTGCAAAACAAAGCAAACAAAAATAGAAAAAAATAGTGCAAACTGTGGTTAAGAAATGAACATAGTGACAATTATAAAATWGACATAAAATATATAATAAGAGAAAGATGGCTAAATTATATTTATGCAAATTAAATGTTCCTAATTCTCATCTCATGTCTTTCATTTCAAAGGTTATTTGCCCTGATTCTGTGATTCAAGTGTCACAAGGTTTGAGTTGAGCTGCCTTGACGTAATTTATTTGACAGATCTGTATGCCATAAATATATAACATAACAAGGAAAGGTATCTTCACTGTTGAATGAAAACATTAATGTGTCAATACTGTTTATGAGTATTGTTTGACATTTTCTAGCTACCAAAATAAAACATACAGTATGCTTTGAAAATATGACAGTCCTATTTTTGGGAGATACTTGCTTTGCCTACAAAAAATAGTCTCTTATAAATAAATGAACATGTGCAGGTCCAGAGTGGATGCTAAGTGGTACTTCATCATTAAGACTGATTTTTAGTAAAGATCACATAATACGTACATTTCCATTTGTTTTACAATGCATCTAATTGTTTTTCCTCCTATTTCAATTCTGTGTATTAGCACATGCAACAATAAATTCATATGGAAATAAACTAGAATAAGAGATAAATTACAAGTGGAGGGAGAAAAATGTCCTTATTATTTCAATACTTAACAGGTATTCTTACATTTTGTACTAACCAGTCTGTAATGATGCACATTGCCTTCTCCGACCTCAAAATGTTTTAAAACTTAATAATGAGACAGAATAATTGYACTGTATTCAGAAACTGCTTCCTCACATGTTTTTAGGGGAGAATAGTATCTGATAGGTCTCTGCAACAGATACAGAAATCTTTGCCCAAAAAATTTCACAGTGTTGTATGCATATACAGTTATTTTAATATGTGTTTTTTAATTCTGTCATTGGCATCCACAGAAGGCATACTTCATACTCTGTTTGTGGTATTGCTTATACAAAGCCTGTGGCTCACCCTAGTAGAAGGAAATATAGGGTAATTCTCCCCTATCCTCACTCCCTCCACACTGATCCCCAATAACTGTGTTGGTATAAATGGAAAATAGAGTGAGTTCCATTTAAAATTTGACCTTGAAAATATTAGCCTAACTTTTCAAGACCGGTAAACAATTAAAGCACTATGAAAATATTAATACATCTACTTTTTTTTATTTTATACCTTTATTTTATGCCTGCAAAAGCTTAAATGATTCACAGTGCTATAAATTGGTAGCCCTGGGTTATACAGTTGAAAATGCTTTTTGGTCAATATCTCGGGAAACAAGGTTCCTCGATTAGTCTGCAGAGCAATTGCCAGTAACATCATATAACAACATATGAGCATCTCCTAGATGGTTTCAGATTTGAAGCACTTCCAGCTTCAGAAGGGATAAAATGGAACAAAATGAACGATTTTAGGAACAGAGGACTGAACAGGACTTGTTTCATCACTGAGCTGAATTTACTGTGATACTTGGCAGCACTGTTATATAATTGTATAGAATGATTTTTAAATCAAACTTGTGTTTGCTTGGGACATGGTTGCTACATCAAACATTGGATACCCAAACAAGCTATAGCAATTTTAACAAAAAATCTTCCGTGGTAGCCTACAGATGGAGATACTTTTCAGAATTGGAAAGTAATATTTCCCAAAGAGCAGTCTTTCAGCTCCGTGGTAAAGTGCTTCACACATCTCCCCGAGCTGTTACCTTCCCTGATCTTGACTTACAGTCTCGTACAAGTGCAAATTTCATACCTCCTGACCTGATCTTGACTTACAGTCTCGTACAAGTGCAAATTTCAGACCTCCTGAGCCTGTAATCTGCTGGGACAGAGCCCTGTGAAGCCCCCTGTAAGCTGGGGGTCAAGATGCCACCCTGTTGTTCCCCAGAATAGGAGTAGGAAGGAGCC